GTATTTTTCCTTCAGATGCTGTTCTGTGAAAATAAAGTTGCTAATACTTGCCTATTTTTAATAATCATTGCAAGATTTCAGAAAAGTCAGTGCATGAAGCATAAATTTCTTGCCATGAAGCTGGTGCTGTGGTACCATTTTGGGACATGGGTAAGTAAGGATGGCTACAGTAGGAAAAAAAAAGGAAAAAAAGCCAAATCAATATTCTTTATTCAGAGGAAAGTTGAGCTAACACAAACAGTTTATCTAAGGGTTTAATTATTGCCCCTAAAGGCAGGAAGCACATGTCATTACACATGGTAAACAACTCAAGAAGAGGCTGGGCTGGTTCTACCCTATATATCCTTTGATGTGGGCATATGGCCACACAGGATTCACGTACCTTCCAGCAAGAACTGCTAAGATGTACCTGCTTAAAATGTAAAGCAAAGCATCTGCTACTGCAGCATAATAAAAATGTATTAACCCAAGACAAGGATTTATTATAGGTGTAAGATGGGTAAGGAACTAACTGAATGGAAGAGGGAACTAGATTAGGCTGAAAAGGAATTACTAATGATGTTTTGGAACAGCACCTTATTTAATATTTTCATTAAAGACAGCACAAAACATAAGCAAAGAACAAGGTAATCCTCTGGTTAAAAACAATGACACGGGAGAAACAGGCCAGCAACAGTTTCTACTTCCTAGAGCCATGAGCAGTAAGGAAATGACGGTAACAGAATTCCTCCTGCCACACTGTTTTCAAAAAATGCTGACTGATAAAACAGAGAGTGGATTTCCACTGCTAAGGTTTCCTCAGTGCTAGTGCACATCATTTCTGCAGATTTTCCAGAACTGTGATGTGGAACTGGACAGACAAATGACTTGCTTTGATTAGAGAAGGCCAAGAACACATCTATGCTGAACACCCTAACCCAGTGAAAAAACCTTAGTGATTGCTGAGTAAACAAAAGCTAAAACTCCATCACTGTTTGACACCTGGGAACTGTGCATAGGGTCGCGCTCAGACAAGCAGCCACACAGCTACACAGAGTTCTTATCTGAAGCAGATTAGGCAAGACCTGTCCCTATCTGCAAAGGCTTAATGAACCTGAAGGACTGCTGTCCACCTATGGGAAGTTCTGCAGCTGTTCCTGAAGCTGCCCTTGGCCAGCTACTCGTCAAGATGCCACTACTGAGCCAAGCTCTTCTCTCCAGAATGGGCAGCTGCCACGACAGGTGCTCCTGGCACAGGCACTGCTGGACACTGTTGGTTGGTCCTGGTTCCCACAACACTGGAGTAGACCAGCCAATATGAGAAGGTTGCTGGTGTGTCTGGTGATTTCACATCACAGTCATTATCAGAAGCATTTTCAAAGTAAGGTGAAAGATTTTGGCAAAATTAGTCTCTCCGATTTCCTTCTGTAAGTCAGAAGACCTCAAAGCACTTGAGAGCAGCAGCACACGGGAGTTTAAATGCAAAGTGAGTTGCAGCTCTCATGGAGTAAACAGCAGGTGCAAGGTGTATATTTTTTCATTTCCTTGGCAAATCTGAAAGTTTGTGTGCTTGGATACATACCTGAAGACACTTACTTGCTAAGAAAGAAGCTTGAGAGTTTCTCCTGGTTTTTCCTTAGCTCACAAGTTGAAGCTGTGATAGATGGCAGATGCTGGGCTTTGTTTCCCAGCCAGACAACAGAGCAAATTAACATTGTCATCAAAAAGAAAATGGGCCCAAGTCCTTACAGATAATGTTGATTTCTGCAAATAATTTAAAGCTGTTCCTTTCTTCAGCATCATTTATACCGAATGTATATGCACAAAGGGGAGAGCTACAGATCCACCATTTATGGGTACAACTGTGACTAGAACATTTATTCTTCAGGTGGCTCCTTGTTACCAGTGAGTGCCAATGCCAGTTGCTCAAAGGAGTACCTTAGAATGGTGTTTTCTTGCCCATTTTTCAAGTAATTTTATTAATCTAAGTCAGGTTCAACTTCTTGAAAAAGCTGAAGAGATCTCAAGAGTCTGTTTTAAGATTATGGGCAGTTTTCAGACGTACAGTTAGGATTGTGTGGTTGAATGCCAAGGTTATCCCATAACAAAACCCAAAGAATAACACCTCTTCCCCAATAGCACTTCTGATTAACAAGATGAAACAAATCTGTTTTACAGGTTTACAAAAAATAACTTAGCTTAAGAAACATCCTATTTATTTATATCTTCCAAGCAGAAGGAAAATGTAAAGATTTAAAATTTTGCAAGATTAAACTCTGCAATGAGAACAGCAAGTAAAACCTTGAACTGCTGTGATATTCTTGTGAAATTTGCCACAAAGGCCTAACGAGAAAGCCCTGACAGACCTTGGCTCAAGGAATTCCAAGAATATAATTATCTGTGTTGCAGAAAGCCAATGTTTTTCCTTGTCAGAGCAGTTATAGTAGAGCTGGACTAGAAATTGAGCTGAAATCTGTACACCAGCTGCATGACTAAAAGAAAATTATTTCAACACTCTTGAGAACCACTTGAGTACCAGCCTCCAGGAGGACAAAGGCTCATCTTTAAATTTTCTTACCCTTCCTAGCAGTATCACCCCTGAGTTATTCAGAAGAAATCTGCATATTTCTGATGTTGATGGAATGACCTTTATTTCTTTCAGATGCAGGGATATTACATCTGTACATGAATTCCATGAAAACTGAAAAAGCAAAATTATACACTGAGGAAAAACAAGGCAGTAATTTTGGATTCTTTTCTCATCTAATAATATAAGCAAATACTGAGAGACTGAGAAGCAGAAAAAAAGGAACTTATTTACATATTCATTAAGTAATTTGTATAATCAGAAGATTTAAAAGGTCATTACCGGAACACCTGCCTGTTAACAGATGTAGAAGAATGAAGGCCAAAGAACACAGTTTTTATAAAGATGTTGATAGATAAACAGTTGGCAGAACTGCAGCTTCCTGCTGGGGCAGGAATAGTCCTTTTGGTCAGGCCACTGTTGGGGATGAGGTAAATCTGGAACCCGTGAATCCATGCATATACTGACTGTCCTGTTGCAAAGCTTGACTGTTGTTTATTAAGAATCTTATTGCTTTTAAATATCAACATTCCAGCTAAATCAGCTTTTATCCAATAAGGAATTCTTATGCACCAAGGGGAAGTAAGGCATCCTGACGTAAAGCAGGATGAAGGTAATTCATTGCACTTGATAGAGCAGATCCTTGAAAAAAATCTTACACTCTCTTACCAGAGGAAGAAAACCAGCTCAGCAGATGCCTGTTTAGACAGACGGGGGTACAGTTCTGTGCACTGATCTTAATCAAGAGTCAGGAACCTGTCTTAATTTGGCCAAACTGGTTAACTCCTGTTTCAGTGCCACTCAGTAATGTTGGAGACCTCAATATCCATTTGCACAGATCCACACTGAGAACCACTTCACTTCATTGTAGGTAACCAAGTGTTACATGCCCAGGTCTAAGCTGGTCACCAAATGCTATTTCAATCTGTGGCTGAATTGTTTTCTGGAGATTCCTATTAAATCTCCTTCTAAAACAGACAAAACTACGGCATGAGGAGCTGTGCTGGTTCTGGCTGAGATAAATTTCTTCATGGTAGCTGCTATGGGGCTGTGTTTTGGATTTGTGCTGGAAACAGTACTGATAATCCAGGGATGTGTTAGACATTGCTGAGCAGGGCTTATACAGCACCACGGCTTTCTCTGCTGCTTACACCGCCCCAAGGAGCCTGGGGGTGCACAAGGAGTTGGAAGGGGGCAGAACTGGGACAACTGACTCCAATTGACCCAAGGGATGTCCCACACCATGTGACATCATGGTCACTGAAGGAGAAATTGCAGGGGAGCTGCTGCTTAGGGACTGGTTGGGTGGTTTTATTTCCCTTTTTTCCTCTCTTTTCCTTAAAATTTAAAAAAAATACTGTTATTTTTTTTCTTAATAATTAAACTGTTTTTATCTCAACCCATGAGTTTCTTTCTGACTTTTATCCTGCCGCCATCCCAGGAGGGGTGGTGGCAGCAAGGGAGCAGCTGTGTGGTGCCTGGCTTCTGGCTGGGGTTGAACCACCCCATGAGCTCAGACAGGTTATTTACATGTATCTCTGTTAAGGCAAAATAATATTGTGCAATCGGCATTCGGTCTTAGGAGAGCATCTGGTTGCATGAAGGAAATTAAATAACTGGCTTAGATGTCTGCATTAGCTGCATCATTAATATTAATTTATAAAAATAGCTATAATTTATAAAAATAGTTAAATATAAAGCAATTTATATATTAGTCAAGTCTATGTTTAATAGCATAGTGGGCATTTCCCCTCCACTGTACCGGGCACTGAATCACACAAATATTCAAGTTAGGAGGAAGCTCAGGAGAGAATCTGGTCCAATCCCCAGCTAAAGCAGGGCTAATTTCAAAGCTATGACAGAGAATCATAGAATCACTTAAGTTAGAAAAGACCTCTCAGATCATTCAGTCCAACCCATGACCCAAAACCACCTTGTCAAATAGACCATGGTACTAAGTGCCACATCCTGTATTTTCTTAAACACCTCCAGGGACGGTGACTCCACCACCTCCCTGGGCAGCAAATTCCAATGCCCAATCACTCTTTCTGTAAAGAAATTCCTCCTAATGTCCAACCTAACTATCACCTGACACATTTTAAGACTGTGTCCTCTTGTCCTACTGCTGGTTGCCTTGGAGAAGAGACCAACACCCACCTGGCTACAACCTCCTTTCAGGTAGTTGTAGAGAGTGATGAGGTCTCCCCTGAGCCTCCTCTTCTCCAGGTTGAGCTCCCCCAGCTCCCTCAGCTGCTCCTCATAGGACTTGTGCTCGAGTCCCTTCACCAGCCTTGTTGCTCTTCCCTGGACCTGCTCCAGCACCTCAATGTCCTTCCTGAACTGAGGGGCCCAGAACTGGATGCAGCACTCGAGGTGTGGCCTCACCAGTGTTGAGTACAGGAAAATAATCACTTTCCTGGACCTGTTGGCCACACTGTTCCTGATCCAGGCCAGGATGCCATTGGCCTTCTTGGCCACCTGGGCACACTGCTGGCTCATGATCAGCTGCTGTCAGTCAGCACCCCAGTTCCTTTTCTGCCTGGCTGCTCTGCAGTCACTCTGTGCCCAACCTGTAGCGCTCCATGGGGTTGTGTGGCCACAATGCACAGCCAGAGCCCCCCTTGTCCTTCAAGTTCTGCACTTCTCCAAGGATGAATACCCCCATAGATGGGTATTCCATAGGCTTTCTGAGTAACCTGTTCCAGTTCCATTTCCTGTTTCAATTCACTCTCATAATGATTGTTTTTTACATCCAACAAGAAATTCTCTTGCTGCAAGTTGGTTCAGTTGCCTCATATTCTCTTCATGTGCACCTCTGGGAAAAGTCTTTTCTTAGTCTTCATCCAGGCAGGTGCAGACATGAGCTGCCCTTTCCCCTGTGCCTACACTGGTGTGCAGGATCAGCCCCTTGTGGGTAGAAGAGCACATGTCTTGGCTGAACGTCACGAGACTGGTCGATCCTTAGCCCAGCTCGTCAGGATCCCACTGAACGGAACAACTCAGCCCCTGGGAATCAGCCACTGCTCCCAAGCTGGTGTCATCTGCCAACAGCCCAAGGTTGCAGTTCATCCCATTGCCCAAGCTCTTCATGGAAGTGTTAAGTAGCAGTGGCACCAGTGTCTGCCTTGAGGAATGCCACAGCAACAGCCTTTCAAATCTCACTCCAGGCTGTGTTATCGTTCAAGTCCATTGGTCCAGCACGTTGTCCACCCATCTTCTATGTCTACACATCCATCCCATCTTTCTCCAATTTGGCTGTAAGGATACTATATAAGATTGCGTAAAAGTCTTTGCTAAAGACATGAAACATGACATTCTCTGCTCTCTCTTCTTCCACAAAAGGGAGGGAAATCTGGTTGGTTAGCCAGAATAGCTATTCCCAATCACCATTTTGTCCCACGCATGTCTTGAAATAAAATTAATCTCCAAAACCTCTAGGAGTATGCTCTGCAGTCTTCCCAGGGACTGAGGTGGTACCTCAGTCTCAGAATATCTATGATACAATTAATTTTGTTTTTCAAAAACAAAGATACAAAAACATTGATTTTATATTCCTCCCACAAAGACACTTTTATACAGAATAACTTCTTTGTAGCTTTTGAGCAATTTTTACTATTTCATAATATTTATACACATCTTTATACACATTCCTTGCTTTAAATGTACAGCATAGCAGAAAATAAACTTTACTTATTCATAATTTTACAAGTTAATATTTTTTAAAAAGCAATACGTCTTCCTTCCTTTAATTTGCATGACAAAAGCTTTGGTGTGGACAAGGATTTAAAAATTCATCCAAAATTTTCAGAGATGATTCACACAGGAATCTGAAATGGTATAAAAAAAATGCATAACAGGATTAGAAATGCTAAATGCCAAATCAATCCTCAACTATTTGATTCTCAGAGTACATCTACTGCATGATTTCTTTGACCAGTTAGTCCATATTAGTTTAAATATTAAAAATGCCTTTACAAATTACTTTTGAAATAGCTGGATTCTTTTTCTTTCAACTTTTCCATTTTTCTGCTGATCATCTCTGTCTATAGTGCAACACCAACAGCCCAGTTTAAATTACTATGTCAATTCAAGCACATTTTCTAATATTTCATCATCTATTTAAAGGATCCACTCATTTTCTTCACAGCATTGTTACTTTTTTTCAAACACAGTGAAATCCTTTACTGACCACTTCTCACTCTTTTACTTTCTTCCTTTCATTCTTGAGTCTTTGTCTTTTTTCTCCACACCTGGTCAACTTTTTTCCAAGCCTGAGCTTTCTCTTATCCTTATTAGCAACTGCTTCCCTCAGATGCCTCCACACCCCTCTTAGTCCCTTTCTGACTCTTTTGTCTCACATCATTTTCTAAACCATCCCCAAGGTCAGCTTTTTTCTGGCATTCCCTGACATGTCACTCACCCATCGCCACAGTTGCGTTCTCACGCAACATCTTCTAACACTGCTCTAAAATACCCTCAAAAGACAAAATTTGGCACTTTGGTCTTCTGTCAAAACGTTATTTCACTGTTAATAACCCTAAACATGATCCATCGTGGGTTTTTCTGTAAAAGATTCTGTCACTTGGATTTCTCAAGCATTTATTTCTCCATGTTTTCATCATATTCCTGGACTGATGTCCCAAATAAGCCAAGTTAGTCAGTCGTTAACCATGACAAGTCAGGGCATTCAGCACCAGACACAGACCTGACATGCAGGAGGCAGCTCTGCATTTCCACAGCAGACTATTGGCTGTCAGGGCTCCCCAAATTCCCAGAGCTGTTAAGTGCTCCTCTCTATTGTGCTACAGTGCTTAAGCCATGATGAAACTCCATGTGAAAGGAAACCAATTTACAATGTACTATAAAGATAGGATAATTAGTTAAGTTCTGTGGGTTTAGACATAATACTACTTTGTATAAATTTCATTTTGTTACAATTTAAGGCTAATAAAGCAATATATTGGTACTGTGGAACTATGTATCCCTGGCACATTGGACCACGAGCCATCCTTTGGGATAACTGTGCACCTCCCCAGACAGAAAAGTTTAAGGCACTTTTACCAGGTACCTTTCCAGGGAACTTTTAGGTGGGTGGCAGAGAAATCATACCCAGAGTTATATAGCAAAACAATTCAAGAGTCATTATTTACAGATGCAACGGGAGCACAATTAAGAATTTGGGAGCTAACTAAATTCTAATGCTAAAGAAATATCCTTCAGCACAGCCATTAGATAATTCTAATTCTAATACCCATATATCAAAATGCTAATTAATGTAAATACACAGTATTAAGTAAAAGTTATTATCCTAGCACGTTTGGTTTTATAGAGCATGGGACATTTTTCTCTTGCCTCCAAATGACTGCATTGACAGCTGTATCTGCATTTTTTTGCTAGGCATAAGTAGTTGCATTTTATAAACTAAACTAATGTGTGTGCCATTACTCTTGAGGAAACTCTCTCAATGTTCAATATGTCGTCCAGGATTTTTAAATGCACTGAACAGCATTTTTAAAATAATAGACCCACTGGGCCATCTGAAACCACTAACTCAGCTGAAGAGGGAAGACTAAATTACAATGAAAACTTTTGCTTCCAAATTAGTGCAACAATTCCTTGTATAAGGGCAGCACTTTAATTACTAAACCAGGCAGGTTTTTTTTACTTTTTTCTCTCATTGCTAATATGTAATAGATTACTTCTAAGTCTAAATTTAAGATGCTGGCACAGAATGCCAAGTCTCCTGGGAAATTAAAGAATGTCACCACTTCCTGGTATACCTGGGTATTAAATAAAATAATCCCTCAAGGAGTTATTATGAGATAATGCATTCAGAAGCAAAAAATAATAATAGTATTAAGTACGAGTTAAAACCCAGTAATGTATTTTAGCACACAGCAGTGCAGCACTGTGTGTTAGAAGACTGTCTTCAAATTAATGACCAGAGATCTAGCTTGCAGCATACCATAACTAAAATTCTGGTGTTTGTTAAGTGGAGTAGGATGATAAAATAGTTTACAAACAACAGGGCACATTTCAGACTCTGTATAATCACATTTTAGTTGTACATTAGCACATGAGTAGCAGAGCACTACAAATGGCATGTCAGAAGCCACCAGAGGCCCAGCCTGGTCTGACATTCCATGTAGCTGAGAAACTGCAAACACACTTTAATTCATCATGCAAAACCTAATCACTGCAAAACTTCCTCCAAACCTCTTTCCAGCATGAATTATTTTACCCTTCTGGAGAGACAAAATCCACAACAAGCCTGGACAAATAAGAATCCTCCCAAATTCTACAAAGCTGTGTGATAGCTTCTGAACTTTGTCATCATATTGAAATTCTGATTCTTGTTAAAAAGTCTTCCCATTATCATGCTCATGTTCCTAACCTCTGAATTTTGTCTGCAACTATCTCTGGGTTTATATTACACAAAGGTAGCCAGTCATATATCAGGAAATTAAAACACTGTGTAGCATCTTATGCTCTTCATCTGCCCCAACATCTATGTTGATTTGTCCCTGTTCACTGGGCAGAGATGATCACATAGCTTCATAAAGCAATTATCTGTGTTCTCACTTTAATTTATAGTCAGTAGTGCTCTCAAGTGGCAGCAATTATTCATTTTAATGTGCCTATTTATTTAATCATGTTAAGATTCACTTTAATTTCTCAGCATTTTCTACTGTCTTGATTACAAGAAGCCCAAACTGAATCATGATACCCTGCTGCTCAGCTTTCTTTTCCAGATAATTATTATTATTTTTAAAAATATTCAACTAGGGCACTTGGCAATCCAACATTAAATGATTTCATTGGGAAGAAAACTGAGTTCTGTTTATTTGTGTTTGGTTTTGTTTCTAAGCTAGCCCTAACCAAAGGACATTTGTTCACAGCCAAGCAACTCTTTCAGCTTTCTTGTAGGCCTCTTTGAGGCAGTGGAACAGACCCCAGAGCTCTATCCTCTAGATGGAGTCACAGCTCAGCCACCAAAGGCCTATGCCAAGTCACTAAAATGCCAGAGAACAAATGTGCCTCAGGCCAGGGACCCATCAGAAGAGAGCACTGGGGAAGTGTGCTCAGGTTGGGATGGCTGTGTAAGAAACTGCTGAGTAAATGAAGCTTTTTGGCTTGTTTGGGGTTTTTTTGGTTTTGTTTTTTTTATTATAAAGTCTATCTAGTCTATATCCATTGTTTGACAGAATATTAAGGATCATCAATTTGAAGAACGAAAGACTACAAGGACCTCTGCATGTTTAGGCCACTGTGGTGCAGTACAAACCTTCTCAGAAATTTTGGATGAATGCCCATAACCACAGTCTGTTTTCTTCACATTCTCTGTTTGTGCTTATAATGTCTCTTTTTGCATGCTTTTTAATTCCATGGGCAGCTCAATAGCTAGGCAGAAATCAAACGGCCACAAATTTCAAGACTTAAGCAAGTTTGGAACACTTAAGGCTAAAGCATTTGTCATGATTATCTGTCTTGGGCAGGTCTGAGTTAAATGATTGCAAATACAACATAGCCAATCACTTTCAAAAAACCTATCACAAGAGATACACCAGGGGTGACACTGAAATACCCCCCAAAAAAGAGCAAAATAAAATCACCTGTGGAAAGGTCTCAAAATCACTGTTATATTTAGTTCAGTTTTTACCATCTGCATAGCTTTGGATTCGCAAGCCTAATGCCAAAGTGTGGGAGAAAAATCCTCTAGAAATAAGAAATCGTAACCAGACTATTTGCTCTGTTCTGCACCTGCTGTAACAGACCTGAATTTCAGAACCGAACCCTGCAATATACAGGATCGAGTCATAACACATTCCAACTAAATGAACAAAACCCAAGCCAAACACGTAAAGGTTGCAATCACAGCGGATGCAAGGGCAGGATATTTCACACTGTGCTGGCCTCAATACCCCACCATTCTTCCCCCCACTGTTTGAAACCTCGCAATCAATCATTCAGAAGGTTCCAGCGGAGTTATGGAAGTACAGAACAGAGCCAATTATGGCAGGGAGGGGAGGGCAGAGGTTGGTGTTGGTCTCCCAGAGCACAGTTACCTCTCAGTGCTGCTGGATCCCTCGGTGGCCTCGTTGCACACCATCAGCTTCCCTCGAACGGCAGGGGCAACATCCTTTAGAAGGGCAGGTCTGTGCTTACCTATTTGAAATGAGATTATGTTGATTCCAAAAATAACAATTTATCAAAAAAACCCCCCAAAAAACCAACAGCCCCACCCCTGTATATTTTAATAGAATATTTTTAACATAAAAGATTGTTTAATGAAAGATTAGATATTAAATTAGATTCTCGCTGTCCTGTGCATTTCAGCAAATGAGGATAAAAAGATGAACCCGATGAGTCTGCAGACAGTTGTAAATATAATTTACAAGCGATACAATCTTAAATCCTGCGAGAACTCAGCTTTCAAAATGTAACATATAAAAAAGACAAAAATGCTTTGACTGACCTTTAATTGTCATCACAATGCTGACAGCAGCTGTTAGACTAAAAATCCCTTTAATTTCTTCAGAAAGAATGCATTCCATTAATTCATTTAAAAATGACCTAAGGAAAAAAAAGCACGAAAATATGTTATAATCCAAGTCTGTTTCAAAATAGAACTGAACAGAAAATGTTTGTAATTATGCTCCCCTGCCACCAGCACTTCAAAGATACCATGCGGGACAAAGCAGTGGTGGTGGGATAACTGAGAATATCAGAGTTAGCAGAATGGTGAATTACTTGAGAAGAAAATAAAAAAGTTTGTAAACAGAAAGTAGCTGTTAAGAGAAATGAAGAGCTCATGGTACATTTCAGGAAAGTCAAACCATGAAAAAACTACTAGTATGCTGAAATTTATCTCACATAATTGGTACTGAAATTTCTAATTTGATTTAAACCAAAGTTTAAAAAAATATGTTCTATGACTCCAATGGTTTGTTAGTAACTACTCATGCTGAATTAACACTTTGACTTAAAATGTATTAAAATAGATGGATTTCCAATTACAATCCAGTGCAGATCATTTATAACTAAATATAGCCCTGAAACACTTCCAAACAACATTTTAGTTATTGAAAGTATGGACAGAGTAACAGAACCATGACAACTGTTCATTTGAAAATCTGAAATAAATACGTATCTCAATATGTATCTTAAGAGACTCACTTTTAGCAAGACATGAAAGTATTACCAGCAAACTCTAGTGGTATTTTGGGACATACGTCAAGCTAAGAAAAATGAAACAAGGGAGTCACAGAAGGGGTCTAGCAGCCAAATTAATCTGCAATATGGAATGAGAATGCAAACCCTAATTCATCGTGTTTATGGTAAAAATAACAAATTTAACTCAAAAGCAATTCTCAAAACCAGAGAAAAATAGAAGAACAAGAGGGATAAAGCAGGAGATGGGCAAGATCTGTAATCCTCATACTCTTCAGAGCACGAAGTCAAATGCTCTGTGAAGAATTAAAGGGGAAACTGAGAGCAGTAATGTTGTGATAACTTTCCCTAATATATTTCAAAATAACTTCAGCAATATTATTATCTGTTACCAAAACGGAACACCTTAAATAGTCAGCTCTGACTTCAATTGTTCTTCAGGTTTATAGTGTGCTAAGATATCAAAATGAAGTATGCAGGTAAGAACCAATGCAGTAAATAAGCTTTGCAGAAGCTCAAATATTGCTTCTAAGAGCTGAAAAAGATGAGAATTCTTTAGGTTCAGAAATAACCATTATGAAGTTGCTCATGTATTGCATCAGTTTTATTATATCATTGTGGACCAATCTGACCAAACACTGAATCCATTTCATATTGCTTTTAAATTGCAACTGATAGTCCTTGGATCAGAGCTCTGACTCCTTTGTTATCTCTGTTTTGGTCACTAAGCACACTCTGCAGCTCCATGAAGGAACACTGTAATTTCATTAACCTGTAATAAGACTCACTGCAGCTGGCTTTCCCCACCTCCCTCTGAAAAAGGGTCACATGAGCCTGCAGGTAAAGATAAAATACAACAGAACAATAAGCTCTTTAAAAATACATATAAGCAACAGAGGTAAGTAATTGGTTCCTACACAGATAGTTCCCTGGAAAGGACACTCACACAATTGGCCAGATATTGCCAAGACTCTCGGTATTATCCCTGCTATGGGGACTGAAATTCAAGGATAGAGACTGACTGATTAGTACTGAAGATACAACAGATGCTGCAGAACCCAGAGCAGGTGTGCTCACAGAACACTGAAGCTCACAGAACACTGAAGCTCACATCAGATTTCGAAACGTCAAAGGCTTTCCCGCTGACATAAGGATTTCTGAGATATTGATTAATTTACTATTGGACTCTGATTATGGCCTATCAATACACATTTGTAAAAGAATACAGTCTTAAAAGTAGTCTCAATTCTGAGGCACCAGTAGAAACAGATGGAAATTATCTCCTAACTTAGATCCTCTTTGCATCAAAAAGATAAATACTAGTAGATGCATGTTTTCCAAAGTACTCATAGAAACAATTCGGTCCAAACTTGCAGTTTTCTACATCAAGGATGGACAAGAATCTCTTTGACCACTACAAGAAAAATTTCAGAAGAATTAACTGATTTTCTGCATCTCTTTTGAAAAGAGGTGTGTAAAATAATTTTTTCACTAAAAGAGAACACCTTGATGGGCAGCTGCTGCCTCACGGAAGAACAAGATTTGGATAACTAGCTGGACTGTTGCTGGACTCTCTGGAGTCTTTTGTTTTGCAAAATCAACTAGAACTAGAGAAGGACTGAGAAGGAAAAAAACACCTTATGACAGAAGAAAGGGATATTCACTGCCTCTCAGATTAGGAAGTTAAGACAAGGAATTAGTTGTGGTAAATCAGGGAGAAAGAAAGGACTTCTAAGCCCCTTTATCATTTAAAATAACTCTAGTGTATATAGTCATGTAAATAAAAACTGAATATGAACAAACTAAGCAAAATGAAATTCCCTTGTGACAGTTTTAGAACATATTCAGGGTCCCACTAAATATAGCAATTAAAAAACCCAATAGTTAAGTTTAGCCTTATTTTTGGAGGCTTTTAGGACTCAAGATACTTTATTTTGAATGTTGTGACTTTAATACATATCACCTCATTGCAGATGTTCAATTAAAGGATTAATTCTATTTCTGGCAAATATTTTATCTCATCTAAATACCTCTGTACTGTGGGGACTAATGTTTATAAGTATCTTATGAAAGAAGCAAAACACGATGTACAATGAAAGAACTCATTAGGATAAACAATCTCGTAAATAAGAAGTACTCTTGGTTAAAAAAACCCAGCAATCAATACCTACAGGCAATATGTCAAGAGAAAGGGATTATGAAGTAGTCCAGGTAACATTAATAAGCAACTAGTTCTTCAAAATTTATAAATTAAAACTTTATTGACAACCTATAAACTGCTCTACCTTAGCAACAATCTTGGACAAATTAATATAAAAACATTTACCTGACAACATTAACTGACTTCATAATTATGGCCATTAAACTGCTTGAAAGAGGGGGAAGTTCTGAAACAGTCTTTGGTATAATGACATCTTTTTCACTGGAAGCCTAAAAAGAAAAAAATCAGCAACTGTTGCAGATCAAGAAATATATGTATGCAGAAAACACTGAAGCAAGCCTGTATTTCAATAATTACATTAACCAAGACCTATTCTGAAATAATTAGAACATTCACAAATGTTCTTTGAATAGCTTTAGTCCAACTGTGTTGTGTCCAAATAAACAAAACTTATTTAAATTAAAAAGAGTAAAACTAAACAACATAAACAGTATTTGTACCAAGGCAAATATTCTCTACAGTTTTTCTGACTAGAAGTTGCATTTAACTACACAGGCACAGCCTATTAAACACAGCTGAGTACCTTCTGTGGCTCCAAGCTAAAGTGTGCATACCTGATTTCTAAAAATAACTTTGGTGACAGTGATTTCCTGAATCCCTGCTCTTTTTGGTATCAAGTTCTGAATAGCATGGTAAATATTTAGTTAGAACTGAATTTTGATTTTCTATTACAATAACCTGAGGGCAGGGAAAACCTCAGCCCAGATGAATGACTGGAATGAACACTCATAATTTATGAGTGTGAATCTCCAGTATCATTCAAGCCCCTAAATGTTTACTCTGCATCATCTGTAAAGAGCACTTGTCATCCCACAGCCCCCCAGCTGATACATCCATGTTTGCAGTTAACATTTAACATCTGCTATTGTCTCAGCTCCTCATGGAACACAGAACCTTGGAAGCAGCTCTGTTGTACTTGGTACTTTCCGGCAACTGTTTCTTGCTCTATTTGTGACACATCCAGCAACCACAGCAAAAGCACAGCCTCTGCTAAAGAGCCTCTGCTCTTCCTTCTTAGTTCTCAAAGCCTCCAATCTCACTAATTGTATTTGCTCATAACACTTCATGTATTAGGAAATGCATTGGGAATGTCCCCCTTCTCCTTCAAGGACAGTAACGGTTCCTTGGACTTTCAGAACATAAAACAACTTCTATCTGTATATTCTTTTCAGAATTAGAGATTCTTTCTTTACTTTCTAAAGAAACTCAGATACTTGGAAATCATCTAGACAAAATGAAAGGAATCAAAAAAAAGGATGCAGTATGAGAAGTGTCTCTATATTGGAGCACAGAATACAGAAGTGATCAGTGCCAAGCAGGACATCAGCCTGCTTTGGAACAGGATTACTGAACCTTAGGAGACTGTTCCAAGGAACTAGAATCTGTCAGAGACCAGTGGCTCACTTCCGAAGTCCCCTAATGCTGGGTGAGATGAAGTGAGGTACGTTTAGAACCACCTGTCCTCTTCCTCCTTTCCCTGAGCTCTTATTGCTGAGTACAGCATTGCATGGTGTGAAATAAGCCTTTGATCAGTTCAGGCCAACTGCCTCGGCTGTGTCCCCTCTCAGCCTCTTGCCCATCCTCAGCCCGCTTGCTTTTTTTTGTAAGGTGGGGGTGAAGGGAACAGAGAAACCTTGACACTTGTCAAACACTGTTCAGCAACAGCCCAGACTAACTGTGTGTTCTCAACAGTGTTTTAGCCACAAATGCAAACCACAACACCACAGGGATTGCTGGGAGGAAAGTTGACTCCTTCCCAGCCAGACTCAGCACAAAAACACATAGAAGGAATATCTCAAAACGCCTGTTGTTAATGTCCAACACTGCCCAGTTTCTAAAGTCTTCTGTCAGAGGCAAATAGTGAACAAGGTATCAGGACAACTCTGTTCTTATACAGCTGTAGTCATAAATGTGAGGGATGAACTGTAATATGAAATTATGGCAAATAAAATTTCCTGTTTGCTCCATGCCAACACACACAAATCATCATCTGCAGTACAAAGATCAACCTTCTAGATATAGCTCTGTTGTTCCAACATAATGTTCAAAAAGCAGTAAGTATAAAATAAGAAAATTAAAAATAGTCAGGATTAACTTTACCATCTGTAGCACACAATTTATGTCTGCTACTACTGCAGCCAGGAGAGTGGAGAGTACACCCTGGTGCACTGCTGGGAATGATGAATGCCAGCACTGCAGTGCGTGAATGAATTCTCCAAGAGGCATCTGAATAGAGTGAATCAACTAAAACCAAAAAGAAAAACAAATCTTTTTTCAGATTGCTTGAGTATAACTGAAATATTTCAGCAAGCTTCTCTGTAAAGGGGTACAGACCACACCTTGAAAGTTTCTGAGATCTTCTAGTCACTTGGGATCAGAGGTAGAATCAACAATGTTTGGGAAGTCTACTCATAATTTGAGTATGAGAGAGAAATGAACAAAACAATGGATGTAGCAAAAAGGAACTGAATGATTTTCAGAAGTCATGAAAAGCAGATCATCAAATTTTCCAGAGTGATCTATTTACTCTCTGTTGTAAAAAAAAAAAGGTAACTTTTCTGTGAAGATGTGAGATTTTGAAGCCTTTTAGGGCATCATACATATTTTGAACTTGATATCATTCAGGCTGAAAGAAAGAAATATAATAACTGCCAAGATCATAACATATACATAAACAAATTCTTTGTTCTGGATTGAGAAAGTTCATTTAATTGCAGATAAGACTAACAGCCTAGAAGGGTTAGCACAGTCCGGGATAATTTGCAACAGAACACACTGTTCTTCAGTCACGATAAAACCAAAATGGATTCAAAAACCCTAGTAAAAGGAAAACTTATAAAATTTAACTAAAAATTTAATCACATATCTACTCAAACAGTAGGTAACAGTGAGGCAACAGCCTCAAAGTGCCTAAGTATAACACATTTGTATAAAAAGTATGGATTCATCTACATATTAAGTAGCAATTTCAACTGTAATATGATACCTGAATCCCTTCTTCCTGCTGTTTCTTGAGTCTATGTGCCACACATTCCAACACTTTTTGCAAGACGTTTTGTACAGTGTGAAAAAGATTTGCCACTTCATCTGTCTCAGTATTCTGAGTTAAAGAAGCTTCAACAATTTCTTTTAGAGCACACAGTAATACTGGAGCACAAAAGCCACCTCTCTCTAGAGAAAGACATAAATACCACAATTGTAATGCAATATTCTTCAGGTACAAGCTTAAAATGAAACTCAGTTATATACAACAGTGATAGTTTACAAATGTAGACAATATATTTAATTTCTGAGCATCCTTAGCTGAAATTTTCATACAGTACAATTAATATTTTAAGTATGAATCCAGTGTTCCCTCCAATCATTGAAGGTTAGGGATTAAAACTGCTAATATAAGTCAGCTAAGTATAAATGAAGATGTTGATATTAGTACAAAATATGGTACCTGTCTGTATAATTGGAAGAGCCATATCTAGAACATGTGCTTGAAACGTGAGATTTCCAAGGCCAACCATTATGACATCTTTACATACCGTCAGGTAGGCCTAGAAGAGAGATGCAAAATCATATGAAACCCAAAATTTATATAAAGTAACCATTCAGTACAACCTAAAAATAATAAAAACACAAACTCTTAGCCAAGTTTCCTTGAAAGCTGGTTTATCTACCTGGAGTTACTCTGTTCCCACCTGTTGAAAAGCAGGAATTCCAGCCAGTTCTCCAAATGTTTCCATTGCCCTTTCCTCCAGTAATCAGTCTCTCAAAAGGCAGTAAATCCTCTATCTTTTTTACTCAGGCTCAGATCAGAGACATTGATACTTAACATTTACTGAGGCAGAATGTGACATCCCCACCTGTCCTGAATAGCAAAAGCCAGAACAGAAAAAGAGCTTTTCCCTATAGACACACAGATGTTACATTGTCAAGAGACTATGATACGAATGTACAGACAGAGTAGAGAACTTTTAACCAGTCTGTGTACGTGTGAGCTGAGCTGTTCAAGGACACTGACAGTGACTAAAGTTAGCCAAACTTTCATCAAAATCTGAAAGAACCCATAGCTCAATGCTAAAATCCACCTTGGATTAAGTGGTATGTGGGAGGAATGTAACAGAAAACAATTGAAAACTAGCTAAACCCCCCATATTATATCATCAAATGCTTTCTGTGAGGGGCAAATGAAGATCAGGGGTAAGGGACACTGGAAGTGATGACACTGGGGTTTGAGTCAGAGATTCCATCAGCCCCACAGTCAACACATCAGCAAATCAGTGGCCTAAAGAAAACAGCCCCTCAGTGAATCCCTGCCCAGAGCACTAAGTGCTAAACTGAGTAACAAACCAAGCAGATAAGGAGGGAGAAATGGGAAAGAATGGGATGCCCCACAGGGAAAGTCAGAGAGAAATGTAGGTGCAAAAAGAAGAGACACTCTGGTCCTCTCACATATACAACAGTATTAAAGAAGGAACTGTAATTATTGTATGCTACATGGATTTTTTGAGAAAAACTAAGTCTGCTTCTAATGCCAGCATTGCTACTAAGTATACACTCCAAACAATTAGAAAGCACAATCAATATCTCATTCTAATAAAAAACAGTACACAAGGTCAGAAGCAAATAGGAGCTGCTTAACAAGCACGTGGCTTATTACAGGAGATGCAAGAGGCCTGGATTCTCTTCTTGACTTCCAGACAAGTCACATCAGTCCTTATAACTCAGTTTCTCCTCTGCAAATAATAACAAACTAAAATCTACTAGTAAAGATGGTTTTGTTTCATTGTTGGCTAGCCAAGCAATATATCAGATGGGTCTACCAGTGACCATCAGCCTTTCTTTTTGCTTATCAATAAAGTTTTGGTTTTGTTTTTTATTCAAATCTAGGGAATTGATCATAAACATTCTGGTAATGCTGGTAAAGATTCCCTATTTTTTGTCTTGCCTTTCTATAAGGTTGAGTTCTGTGTCTCCAAACTTTTGAAAGCACTAGAATGAAGTATACTGAATTCCTCAGATTATAATTTTAATTATTTCATTTGGGAAAGCAGAAAGGAAAGAAAGGAAGGAGGAAAGCAAGGAAGTAAACATAGATTCATAGCACAGTTAAAGTTGGAAAAGATCTTTATGGGGTATGAGAGACTGAAGACAAGAATTACTTGTTAGAAACCTAAAATTTGGGATGTTCAGGTTAAAGCACATGATGTGCTAGAAATTTCTTGAGTGGGCATTTACAGAAGTGTAAAACATCAGACTTGTTCCATCCTCACTTCAACAGATATGATGAGAATATATACTATGCACTGGGAGATGAAAAAAAATCTAGGTAAGAACAAGGTATTGTTGATACCAGCTACTTGATTTAATTGCTAGGATATGCAAAATTATGTATTTATAAAATATAAAGGTTATAACTCAAAGTGATTTAAAGAAAAAAAGGTGTGTGATTTTAAGCACAAAGGAAATAGCAAAAGCAGAAAACTGTAACCTCAGAACAATTAGGATTGTGTTTCATTAGCTCTTTCACTTGCTGGGCTCCACAAATGCCAGTGCCCTGTGTGTCAGCACACCAATTGCTACACTTGTGGCTTTTCAGATTGGCAGCCGTTTGATTTATATTATAAGAATCCTCTAACCTGGATAATTAATTCAGAAACACTACTGTGTTTTGAAATACCATCCTCTTGATCACTTGATAGTATAAAAGGTACAACTTGACTTTCTATCCAAGCACCTGTCTCCTTCAAAAGTGAGAGGCAATCTCCTTCTCCAGAAAACTGGAAAGAAAAAGAAAAAAGGTTTACCAATTCTTTCCAGTTATTTTGGAATTTCCAGCTTATTCTGAAAGCTACAACCATACCTTGTGCTGAAGATGAATACTCAATCTGCAAAAGAGGCTGAAGGCTCTTAGACTAGTTGCTTGATTCCAGCTACCAGAATCTGCATTAGTTCCTTTAAGGATTGAGCCAAGAACCCTCTGAAATATAAAGGTTTGCATTTATATTTTTCAGAAAATTCTTTCAAATGTTTCTTTTCTCAACAGCTTTAAACAATAAAAAAAAAACCAAACAAGAAAATAATAAGAACAAGAAATCACCAACCCCAAAAAAGCAACAAGCATACTTTCAATTATTCCACTTGGCAATGCCATAACTGATTTTCAGACTATTTCTTATACGTCTATTCCAAAAGTCAGGTCCCTTAAAAACACTCATCACTAGATCACAAAAGTGTTGAGACACCTAAAACTGACAAGCTGGTTAAAATCTGCCATCTATACACAATCCTTAGCTATTATACTTCTAGTATTGCAGGAAAACCTTTTTACAGAGGGAGAGGGGATCATGAATGTTATTTATTTATTCTTGTATGTCTTTAATTTGACTCAGGCAATATATGACATTCAGCATTCTTTTATAAGTACTGCTTATAGTCAGGAGAATACTACCTTTGCAGCACTGAGGATTTTCAAAAGTTTCTTCAGTTTCTTTTTATGAACAGAAAGGAGGCAATCACGATTGGTAGGATGAGTCAATAAATAGTCAATGTAATCAATTGCCAGTTCTGGCTTTGATTCCTGGGGTACGTGGATCTGCACTCGGCGTCCAGATGTTTTAACGTTCTAAATAAGAAAGAAGCACAAAACCAGTGCAATACTGTTAGTATTTTTACAACAGATAGTTGTTAGTATTTTGTTTATATTTATTTATTTACTTATTAAAGTTAGTACTTTACAACAAATTTCAAAGCAGAGTAACATTTATAATGTCTCATTCTATTAAAAATAAATATGCATGACGCCTTTATGTAATCTTGCAATTCCTGAATTCTTTGACATATGCATATGCACACCTTTCTTGGGGTCAGTGTGTCAGACAACCAATCACAGGCTAATTCCATAATATGCCCCACTTGACCCCAGCGACACATGCAGTCAATCAGGGTAGAATATTTGCTTTGGTCAGCTCCACTGTTAATATTTCTGAGTCTGGAAATCACACCACGGCTTAAAAGAAAACAAACAAAAAGAGATGCGTTAGTTTTACATCCATAAGTGCAGAAAAATCCAAAGAAAATCAATTAGTGTAATACAAAAAAAAAAGATTCACCAATGGCTCAGACATACCTGCACATCACAAATTTTGCTAACTTATCGCACTTTTTTAGTGGATTAATTTATCCAAATGGGCACTTAATACATCAGGTTGTGAAACATTAGGAAACACAGTCAACAAGAAATTTCTTGTAATTCATATTTTGTATTTCAAAATAGTACCTGAATGTAGGAACAGCAGCAGTGGGCATAAAGGATGCCAGAATAACCAATGGAGTCATGCAACGCTCATCCTAGGATAAAAAAAAGTACACTGTATGATGTACATGTCCAGGTACACACATGCACACAAAACTAAACAGAGTACTGAAAAAGTATGATTACATTTTCTCAAATTAAGGATTTCCCTTTTTTCATTATAAATGGAATTGAAAGAAGCTCATAACAACATGTGGGTTGCAATCGAAAGGTGTGATTCCTATTCTCAGGTCAATTAACAATTATCTTATCATTCAGCTTTTTGAAAAACTGCCAGAATAACTACCATGAATAATTATGGCTCTGCCAGATTCATAACCATTGCAAAAGAACTACCAACTCTACCTTACTTTTTTTTTCCAGCAATGACTAATGTTTAGTTGCCCAACCATGACACCACCTAACTCCTCTCAAGGAACCAGTGCCTTAAAATGAATATTCATTCATATGGCAAATTTTTTAAAAAGACTCTTTCCTTTAGAGTCTCTATACAACAATGGTATTGTTAAATGCACTATTATTCATTACAACATGTCATAACTCATAGTCTAGGCCATGACATAATCTCACTCAGGTTATACAGAAACCAATCTATGTTAAAGACTCTTCAAAAATTGTGTATCTGTATGTCCCAGCTTCATGAAAACAGTCAAATGAAATTATTACCTACTTACACATTCCAAGTTCTAAAACCTTCTCAAAACTCATGTTTTCAGAAAAAACATTTAAAATGTAGCTTTTTCAGGAAAGAGACAGACTGCTTCAGTCTGTAGTTCTTTTAGAAACTAAGCCTCTGATGAGAGGTCCTTTTAGATCCAAGCTGCTTACTCACTCTAACAATATCAAAGAGGTTGCTTGCTACAGCTGGATATCTTGCTGTTCACTAGAGCCTCTCTCTCAGGAGGGATGTTACATCCTCTACCAAAAAAAGGTTTGGCATGTCTGTGACAACTTCCAAATGCTTTCAGGGTAGAGAGCATTTGGTATATCTGTGCTGCAGAATATGATGTAGCAATTAACTGCTTTTCACTCCCTGATTATCTAATGCAAAGTTGAAGTATAACAGCAAACATTACGCAGTATATTCAGCACAAAAGCCACCAACTAAAAACCAGACATCCAGCAGGTAATTCTTCCAAGGACATTCCAGGTGCAGCAGACACTATTGGCCACTCTCAAAAGACAGTATCCTCCTCAAGAAAACAGTTAAATAGAGCAAGGAGACTGAAAATTTGAAAATGACTGATTTTAAATATTTGCCTATATCAAACCCAAACAATAAATAAGTGCATCTAATAAGATTGTTAGAGAGTAGATTCAAATTAGCAGAAACCACAGAACCATAGAATGGTTTGGGTTGGAAGGGACCTTAAAGATCACCTAGTTCCAAACCCCCAGCCATGGGCAGGGACACCTTCCACTAGACCAGGCTGCTCAAAGCCCCATCCAGCCTGGCCTTGGACACCACCAGGGATGGGGCATCCACAACTTCTCTGGGCAATGTGTGCAAATGTCTCACCATCCTCACAGCAAAAAATTTCTTCCAATATTTAATCTAAACCTATTCTCCTTCAGTTTAAAGCCATTCTCCCCTGTCCTGTCACTACGTTCTGTTGTACATCTCCATCTTTCTTGCAGGCTCCCTTCAGGTACTGGAAGGCCACAATTAGATCACCCTAAAGCCTCTCCTCCAGGCTGAATAATCCCGATTCTCTCAGCCTTTTCTCCGAGGAGAGGTGTTCCATCCCTCTCATCATCTTGGTGGCCTCCTCTGGACTCGCTCCAACAGCTCACTATCATTCCTGTGCTGAGGCCCCCAGGGCTGGAGGCAGCACCAGGTGGGGTCTCACCAGAGCAGAGCAGAGGGACAGAATCCCCTCCCTTGACCTGCTGCCCACACTGCTTTGGATGCAGCCCAGGACACAATTGGCTTTCTGGGCTGTGAGTGCACATTGCTGGGTCATGTCCAGTGAAAAAGGAGCCTCAGCTGCTTCAGGTGTCTGTTCCAGCAGCTGGGACAACAAACAGTGGTGGAAGAGTTTGGGGGGCAGTGGGCAGAAAAACACGTGGACTCTCACATACACTATTTATACTGCAATGGTACATCTTCATTTACTGTTTTCCAAAAGTTCTAAAACCATTCAAAAGAATAGAATCCAAGGAAAATCTTAGAAGGAGAGCAATTTATTGCATAAGTATTTCTGAGCTGACTATTTAGATAATGGCTCAGCAGTCAGACATTGCAAATGGAGAATAGCTTGTACCCATTAGTAGAATTCCAAGAAACTTGCTATTGTTTATGGTTTATAGCAACAATGAAAAAGAATACTTCATCCTATAAAAGTAGATAAAAGATATAAAACATGAAAGCATCTGAAGAACATACTAAGAAAATGCAAGAAAACCTGGTCTTTCTTTACCTTAAATACTTTAAAATATTCAGGAAGTACAGAAGCAAATTTCCTGATAGCATAATCTTTGACCTCTTCATTGTGTTCTAGTGCTTTGTAGATACTTTTCCAGAGAACTACAATAATCTCCAACAAACTTGCCATGCTGGCCACATCATTTATGGACAGCACATTATCCAACACCTGAAATACAAATACTTAGATGATATTACCTATTATATTCTTAAATATAAATTGAAGTTAAAATAAGGTTTCAAAAAAGCCCTGAAAATCCTTCTATTCATTTTACAAAGGTATTGTGGTTGCTGTAGAACATGAACTCCACAATTCAGTCTTACTCTCTCTAACTTCACATATCTTGCAATGATGATTTTTTGAATAATTTAATTGCAAAATCAAACCAATTTATAATTAGTACTGGAATTAGGGTGCTTCATATTCCTTCTGTTTTATCCTATCTACTTCACCAAACTTCTGCTGTTGCAGGACATGAAAACATGATAATGGCAGTTCTCCCCTTCTAATTCCACAGACGCCTGAGGGCTATCCCTTAGATTTCTGTCATATCATTAACTGCCTATGTCTCAGCTGAAGCACCATAGAAAAAAAAGTTACTAGAACTTAGCATAAAGTGGACTTTCTTACACTTGTGTTCTCCTTTTCGCTTTCATCATCATCATCCTCACCACTATCACACAGACTCTCCTTTGCTTTCTGGATGCAGGCGTTCAAGCAGCGCCGAATAGTGAGGATCAATTTAGCTACATTTAAATAGAATAAGAATAAATTAGAAATGCACTATTTTTAACAACGTTGCTAATAAATGCTTCTAATTATAAAGCCGGAAAGCCAGTATGTAAAAGCAGGCAGCAGAACCAGAAATAACTAGGAAAAAAAGGAGAAAAATTCCTTGTAAAAGAAATGGGAAAATGTGAACATGTTTTACATCCTCAAGAAGAAATGGCAACATTATCATCAGGTTCTTTAATTTTACTGGTTAAAAAATATACTGAAAAAAAAAAAACAAACAAAACCAACCACCACCTTATCAAATTTGGATCAGAGGAAGCTCCCACAACTCCTACGTTCATCTGGAATAGCTGTTAATTTAATGACCTACATTCAAGAACACATCCCATCCTATGGCAATTCCCATTATTTGGAAAACATGTAGTAGCCCAATCATTGCCCTCCTGAACGAGGAGCTCAGCTCTAAATAAAGTGCAAGTTTCTCCCCGAGTGCCCACTCTGGTGAAAGTACAAGCAGCTGATTTCATAATCCTGTGATTTCTAACTCCCCTACCAAGGTGATCAGTCAGGAGGACACGGTTTGGGCATTGCACCCAATCACTCCACGCTGACTACTTGGTTTTTATCAGGACTCCTCTGAAACAGCATTTTCCTGATTTTACTTGGTTCAACAGCACTTTTCTGAAAAGGAGCAACATTCTGTGCAGTGCATGCCCTTGTCCCTGAAACTTTCTGAAGCTTTTAATCAAAAGGAGGGCTTTTCAGATTTTCTCCAAGCAACTTGAAAATACTAATCCACAAATCCCAGATAATCAGATTACCAGACATAAATATTTTTCAGCTTCTGTAGAATCTTTCACATGAAGATCTCAAATCATTTAGGGCACAGGGGTATTTTGTTACATTATTTCTACATGAGAAATAGATATCAACTGAGAGAGTTTTAAGCTACATGTGAGGAGAATGGGGAACACAGGGACCTGGTTGGAGTGTACAGTACTGCACCTAAGAGCAGAAATGAAAAGCTTTAAAAACTCATAAGGTTTTGTACTTTACCTATATTGGTGGGGGCAGTGTATTCATAAGCATATTGATAGAACTTTCTGGCTGCTGCTGGATTCATCTGGATCAGAGTGACACAGCGCTCACACCACACGTCCTCGGGTTGGTTAGTGGGGAAGAAGGAGTTGAACAGGAGGTTCACTATGCGCCGGGACACGGGCCGTGAATCCACCTCAAGGCGAGTCAGAATATCCTCCATAGGACAGATATTCCAGAACTTTTTGAAGGAGAAAAAGGTATTAAAGGAGTTAAAAAAGACAGAGGAAAAAACAATCACCTTCATTAAGTGTTTTCCTCGTCAATAGTCTCAACAAATATGAGTAGCATTTACCAGGAAAGCATGAGCAGTTTTTGTTTTTACCAATCACCAGCATGTTCTGGGGTCCCATTCTGCTGCAGCAATGCTACTTTGCAGTTCTGATGCACCTCCAAATCTCCTGGTATCTCTGACATACTGATAAAATTCTGGGTCAAGCAATTCCAGCTCAATACACCTGCAATGCTAATGCAATTCCATACATATAGGGAAGAATTATTCACTCTACAAAGACATCACCACAAGATACAATTATTTGTCATAATGTGACATGTTAAATATTCTCATTATAGGACCAAGCAGGACCAAACTACCTACCAGGATTGTATACACCCTAAAAACCTGAAGAGAGCAAAAGCCTTTGCAAATCCATCCCAAACCACAAGTGCATCCCATCCTTAGCAGAGCTCTAGTTTATTTGTACACAGAAATCAAAGGCTGTGAAATCACAAAGGAATACACAGCTTGTTATGCCATCAGTTACACTACTCACACCTGCAATTTTTTTAAAAGATCCTGAATTAATTATTCTGTGCATTTCAGATTAAAACAAAAAACAAAACAAAAAAAAAAAAGAAAAGTTTCTTGGCATTGAAAAAAAATATTTTATTCTTAGGAGAAATATTTGCAGCAGCTAATTACCCCATGAGTTCAAACTATGGGCATCCCTACTAGAACTGTCATAAGAAGAAGGCCCTTGTAATAAGTATTAAAGTGATCCCAGGACTTACCAGAGATACATATTACAGTTTTTAAATAAATAGGAATTTACTAAAAAGCATTTAACACTATGATTTTTTTTCTTTTATGTAAATCTGATCCTTCCTTCCTCAAAAAAATCCCTGAAGCTGAGGATTATCTTTTTTCCTCTGTCTTTAACAGTAGCAAATTCAGAATAAATCAAAGCCAAAAAGATAATTTGTTTGAACTTTCAGACTGAATGACAAATAACTTTAAAACAATAACTTTTTTTATACATTTAACAGCAGCATGAATACTTTGTTTTTTCAGAGACTGTACCCAAAGTAACAACATTAAATAATCAATATAAAGCATTGTTGATATTCAATACAAGTTAAAACAAGCTTGACTATATTTTACTATACAGATAACCGATACTAAGGGATCAAGTCATGAGTGCAGGTGCCAGTCCTTCAAACAAATCACACTGCTATATCATATCTTAGGAAGAGTTAAAACTCAGCACCAGAAGAAGTGCTGAGTACCTGTGAGGTTACAGAGTGATGTAGAAATGAACATTAAAAGAATCACAATAAGATTATAAGACATTAGGGGATTATGCCAGCTGAGTATTTTTAAAATAATAAATAATAACACAAGAATACAATAGAAATCATGATTAAGATTTCAGAGTCCAACACTTTCAGAATAGGTTCTGTGATCTTTTGTTTCTTCTGATTGAGTAAACCAAGCCATACATGTCCCAACACACAGGTCAGCAGAGCGCTCGGGATACCACGAGTATTAAGAGTATTACTATAGCAAAGCATGTATTTCTTTCCCTTTAGGAATACTGCAGTAGTCTCAAAATGTACTTCTTTTTTGTTTTAAATAAATGCCTTGATTTTATCTCCTTGCTACTTATCAAGCATCACATATCCCACCTTAGCAGCCTTGGTAGCCTTAATTTTCAGCAGCATGTCGACATAAGCCACTCGCACTTTCTCTGAGTTGTCACGAAGGCTGTGTTTGGTCGCTGGCAGGAGCTGTTCCAGTAATGGATGGCTTAGGTTGTTGTCCAAAATTATTGGTAGGCACTAAAAAAAAACCAAAACCAGAAAGAATAGGTTTGAAAAAATATCTAGGCAAAAATTGTTGAACTGGACCATGACACTTCTAACGTTAAATGAAGCAGGGACAGACACTGCACTTGCATATTTTTCTCACAATACTCTTTAGCAAAAATTGCTTTTTAAATTTCCAGTGAACTGTTCAGTGAACTCATTTCAGCTGAAGGAGCTTTAGATTTTCACTGGGGCCACGGTCTTGCCTTCTACCTGAGAGTACACTGTCAAGTGTTTTTTGTGGTAGCAATACCAGCTCCCTAAACTGTGCTGATTTCAAATTAAAAATACATATTATTTCTCCAATTTATTTTTAAATCAGCACTCTGCTTGTCCAGTATAGCCCCCCCCATGAGGCTGTAGAGGAGCAAGTGAGGATTAGCATTAAGATTGCTCCAGTTTAAGGCTGAACTGATACAGACACAAAACCTTCAAGTGAAAATACTGCTCAGGGAGTTCATTTTTCCGTCCAAGCTTTCAGTTATTTATCACATGTCAGAAAGATGTAGATGAACTAATTCTAACATACTGAGCAATGCATAGGAGGAGGCATTACCAGAGAAACAGTGTGGAATTATATCCATCCAAAGCTCGGAAACACAAAGTGGGATACAAAATCCTAACTGTGCACATCTTGGGACATGCTAAGACCAGTGACATGGAGACATCCTGGAACCTGCCTGCAGATGTTGTCAAGTCTAAGCATCATTTCTAATAGCTAAAATAACTGAATTATCAGGTCCAAACAACGTGTGTAAGACTGGAAATGCAAAGTAGCTGAGAGTCAGAAAGCCCATCAGTTACTATTTTAAAAGGCATTTGTGTATTCCAAATGCGTGGCTTTTATAAAGCATGTAATACTTCCAGGTTTTAAGAATTTTATTGCCTAAGTTATTTTGCAGGACAAGTTATTCCTTGCCTTAAATGATACTAGAAACCTGTGCTTCAAGTAAAACATAAAAATGATCAAAATTATTTTTAATTTAGAAAAGTCACTTACTTTAAATACAGAGCATCGAACATCAGCAGATGATACATCACACGCCAGCTCCCCAGTTATCTTTTTTAAAAGATCAGCAACAATTACTGAAGGAATCATCTCCCAGTATCTGGATGTTATCTGAGTAACTCCAAGTATCCCTGTAGAGCGGACAACTGGATGAGGATCTTCTAAGAGACTCTAAAACAAACAGAAGAATAATGTGAGTATATGCATTATTGTGACCATATTGCTGTTTGACATGAACCTATCATAAACAAAAAGCATTCCATTACCTTTTAATCATTATGCAAATTGTCAGACAATAAAAGAACTGTAATATTTAGTCCTTCAAGGCATTTTATTATGAAGTAAACTAAGCAACTTAAATCTAATGCAAAATTAATACACGTATTGGTCAACTTTTTAGATTGGACTTTAGAAATTTATTTTTTTTATAGATCATATTAAGTCTTACATTTGTGATATAATTAAGAATATTTAGACTTTTACTAATATGAGTTTACACTGATCACTGCTCCTATGCAGCAACATAAAAACTTTGAAATCCATTCAATTATCAGGCATTTACTCAGGACTCCTAAAATATTTTTTTAATTAAAATACTATGCCCATTCTCACCCATCTAGACTGGTAAGGCACTTTTTAGGTTCTTATCTCTATTATACTTAATTTCAGAAGCATTTAGAAATACAGTACTCAACTTTCATTGAACGTTTCCATATTAACTGTAAAGCTCTCTTTACCAATCCTTGGTCTAGTCTTTCAAAAGCATCTCTTATTCAAAGATTAATAACAAACCCAAATATTTCCTTTTCAGACTTGAAAATGGTGTGTGTCATCTGCTATGACCATACTATGGAAATTTAAAATATTAGTTAATTTTTGCATTTTCTGCAACAAAGACCTGCATTTCCCTCCAAATACTATCCAGAAGTTCCATAAGTTTTAATTGCATCAACAACTTATTTTTGAGTTAACTTTGATGAAAGTTTAATTTTTAACATTTTAGTTTCGTTAAAACTTACAAAAAGCTCTTCAAACTGTTTCTGAATTTCATTGTCCATCTCTTCAGCACCAAAACTGGGATCTCGAAGAGGAAAAGCATCAACAAACAAAAATGCTGCATTTGTTCGAACTTCTGATTTTCTGGCCTGTTACAATGGAGGAAAAAATATTTTTTCAATAAGGACAGACTGTTAATATCCAGAGGCATATCCTGTCAAATACTGCTCTCCCAACACTTTCAGCAAGTTAGTGTTTTTAACTAAGTAGATGGAAGAGAAGAATTTATAAATGCATGGGAGAACTTATGATCACATATGAGTTTTAATGTTTTACTTTACACTTCTACCCGTTCAGTAACACCTGAGTTATTGTTACAATCAGCTTTCAAAGAATATCGACTTCAATGACCCTGAAGAGTCACAGTCAGAGCCCTTCTGCTTTCTGTAATGCTGAATAAATTAAAAGCAATTGGGATTTCTCTTGGTTGCCTTAAAGCTCCTCTTCAGGGCAGAAGAATCTTGAATTCAAGCAGATTAAATTTCAGAATTAATTACCTTGCCTGTGAAGAGACAGGTGATTTAATTGAAAAGCTCAAGCCTATTTCTTCTACAAAACAGTATTTAGTAACCAAGCATCAGAAAACCTGGAGAGCAACTTATCCAGCATAAACATATTCATTTTTGCATCTGTGCACAGAAGGAATAGGATCATGTTCTGAGCTCCAGGCAGCTCATCAAAAACCAAAAATCTATGGCAAGCCTCACAACCCTCAGACATTATCCCATTTGTAACAGTTTTTAGTGTATTCCAACATACATTTCATTGGTTGCAGAGTCCCAAATGCAAAGAAAAATGAAAAAGGTGGATATTTAGACACTCATTCAGTGAAAGATAACTGACCTTGTGGACTCTTAAAGGACAGAAAAAGAGCAGGCAATGAAACAATGATGAAATTCAAGGCATCTCGGGGAGAAACCTGAAATCTAACCATAAAACTACACTTTATTTATCAGAGATAGCAGTGCAATGATTAAAAGCCTCTGCCAACTTCTCTTGGAAAGAAGAGGGAAGGAAGAAATTTGTTCAGATTTTGGGTCTAAATTAAAAAAAAAAGAAATATATGTATGAGACTATATATATAGTTAATAAAACAAGTAAAGTAAGCTTAATTCTAACAGCAAGACAAGAGACAGTTCAGGGAACCTCCTGACTATTCTAATAATCCAATTTTCTTCTTCCCTTGTCATAAGGAACGTTCAGATCAAAGGCAGGGAAAAGAAACATGATGATAACCCTGTAATATTTAGAGTTAAATAAATTAATGACAAACAAAAACAGAAAGACACAACAGAAATTAGTAAAAATTATTTAATTTACAGTCTATTTTGTATTTCTCTCCTGGACCAATCCTGATATGGTGGATCACATCTCTGGGTAGAGCCAGAACATTCCAAATTCTTCTAGTCAACAAAATTATTAGCAATTCTAAATTGAATCCTACAGAGGCAAAAAAGCCATATACATGCATTCTTTAGCTAGGGACTTTATTTATCATGGATAATGCAAACACTTTAAAGGTGGAAAGATCATAATTCTTAATTCTATCCTATAAAGCTGTAGAAAATCCTTTAACTTTGAGTTTGTCTATATTTAAGAATTAACATATAAGAAGCTAATATGTGAATTCAGGGTGAAATAGCTCTTCTGCACTAATATTGCATGCGAAAATTAATTCAAATGTGTTTTTGTGCAATAACCTAGACCTTGTCTACCATGGCCATTCCAGAAAGTTAATTTCCATAAACTTTCTAAGTGCATTACACTGAATTCCATTAAGCTCACTTTAATTCTGAACTGCATACCCACAGTTCAAATTCCTGCCTTTAATTAATTGGAATTTATCCCAAATGTATTTGCATATTCAAGCTTGTAGAAGAGTAAATGTCTTCACAGAGGTAGAACCTAAGACTTTAAATTCATATCCTGTTTTAAACCACAATGACTTTTCCATGCAACAGCCTGCAGTTATTTAAATGACTAAACTTCTTTATCTTTATGCTTGTACTATTCTGAGGAACTTTCAGAACCTTTTTGAACAATACTTTAATTTTTTCCTTCATTTAATTTTCAGAGCTTTCTTTTAAATTTCATCTGGTCTTACAGATCCTAAAATTCACTTCCAATTATTTAAAGTACTGTTTCCCCAGTATATATTAGTTTAAAAGCGTGGGATGTTAAAAAAAAAAAGACAACCAAACACACCACTTTAAAGGACTCACTTCCTTCAACAGCTTGAATTCCTGGAGGAGTGGTTCTTGACTTTTTGAGCTTGATAAGAAATAGCTTAATCACTACTTATCTCACACTAAATATCCATATTTTTATATCCATATAGCTTCTTATACTAATAACCAATTACTGCACAACTATCTCTGTTATGTTTGCATGACACCTACTTTTCATAATAAAGATGTGAAAAATATGAAGAAGTTACATATGGGATTATAAAAATTTCAAGTTGCATAAAGGCTTATAAAAATAAGTGTAGGTAGGAGCCCCAACAGAAGCTTGTGTGAACCAAGTATTTGCAAAACAAGCCATTTAGGAAGAAACAGAGAACTCTGCATTACAAATGTACATTCTCAGCTTAAAGATTCCAGAGATGAAATAAGTAGTTTCAACACAAACAGTTCTGGAATTTGTTATATTCTTACAACTGAAGTATTTTTGCTTTCTGCAAGAAGGAGGGGCAGCATGTCCTTTGTTTCATAACCAGTGTTCTAGAACAAGATTTGTTCTTCACTATATTAAATTAGGGACTTGGCTAAAATAGGAGCATCAAACTGGTTACCTAAAATTAAGCTGACATTTCAAGCTTTGCAGTAGAATCCATAAGGATTCAGTAAGGACACTTATAAGCTTCCCTTAAACTACTGGTGATTCTGAGTCACAGCAACAGTTACTGCAAAACACCAAACACTCCAGCAGTACTGTATGATTTGTTCTAGCAATGGAACCATCAGTGATGTGAAAATTAAGAATAGCAGCTGTCAAAAATTTCAACCACTTCTGGAATCAGTGAAATTCTCCCACTGTCTTGCTGCAAATCAATAATTAACCCTTTTTCCCCTCGAGACATACCTTTCTGTTACATTTGTCCAAATAAATCTATGCAGATTTAGTAAGGTTTGACAGAATGTTCCTCCAAAATACTGCAATCTTATATTTGAGTTCTGGGCTTTGGAAAGTGACCACTTACCTCCATTTCCAGGTGGCAACTCCCCTAAGAATGGAATACTGTTTTGCTAACTACTCTGAAATTGGTTCTGAGACATTAGTCAAGAATTTTGCCATCCTATCCAAGATCATTTAAACCCCCTATTCTTTTTAGGGACAAAAAAAAGTAGAAATTAAGGAAGCCATGCTTTGGAGGTATTATTCTCTTGCAGTAGGAACATACATGTTTCATCCAGAAGGTTCCTTGTTTATATTAATTCTAAAAGGATGGAATCCAACCCTTAATGTAATACCAACCAAGATACTGGGCTAGTGATGACTCTGTTCATCTTCCCACCTCTATCACGAGGTTCTTTACAAACCAAACAGCTCTCAACTCCTTCCCAGACCTCATAAAATCCATTTTAAACAACTTTTTAAGTTGCTATTAAATACTTTCAACTCTAAGAATTTCGAACACTTCTCCCATGGCTACAGAAGATGCTGTATGACCAACCAGCAAATGAAACTGTAAATGTTTAACAGCACTTGACTGGGCTGTAATAAATGGTATGTGTGTGCTCTCACAATCAGGGATTTCATAACCTCAGACAAAATAAAAGCTATTCACAAAGAAAGAAGCTTGGTTCATCTTAATCACAGAGTGGAACCGAGTGGGCAAACTGCAGTAGGTCCTTCTTAGTCTGTGCATGCAATAAAGACACACACATACTGTAGAAGTAGAATAAATTTCATTCTGAACACGTGATTAAAAGCATATCCATGGCATGAATGTCTGTACATACAATCAAAATGAAATAAAAGTTTTTCTAAAATAACACCCTAATAAATTCATTGAGTTGTACTCTAAGGCTGCTAAGTAACCAGAGGGTGAGAAGGAATCCCCCTCTGAACATTTTTGGCTTTGATCAATAGAGCACCAGTAATTCCCCAAAGAACTCAGAAAACAGAATACAATATCACACAAAATTTCCAAATTGAGAAGATGTAATCCTGGAAAGCACTCTAGGTACCTGTGAACAAAACTGAATCATAGAAGTATGAACAAATCAGAATATTGTTGTGCATACTCTGCTTAATTACAACTTGCAAAGGTACTCAGCTACATCTGAGACGTTAAACACTGATTTTTGGTTTCTGTAGCCATTTCATTTTAAAAGCAACTAATAAAAACAGAAGATGTGGGAGGGACCCAAAATTTAGCAGTTGGAGAAAAACAATACTATTTTCTGAAAAGGATAATTACCTTCAGTGCTCTCCAAAGGATAGGCTGATACAATCTATAGAGCATTTCTTCTACTCCTTGACGAACTCTACTTTGTTTATGAAAATAACTCAGCATCTAAAGAAAAACAAACAAACAAACCAGTCCCCAAACCCATTTTAACAGTATTTTCTACATTCAAGAAGTGATAAGGAGTTGTCTCATTTCAAAATTTATGTCAGACCAAAGAGTTTTCGTAATATGGAAAACGATAAAATTAGACATATTAATTGACCCTATATTTTAATAAAGTCTCAAAAATAATAAAACTAAATAGATCCAATAAATATCAAATTTTATAACTTTATAGATCTACAAATAAGAAAAAGTAGTGGCTAGAGAGTTTCACAGAAACAACTCATATTTTGTTACTGTAAAAAAGTGTTTTTAAAGTAACTGTCAGAAACACTTTGAAACCATGACATTATCAACTACAGATAAATAAGTCTTTTCTCTTTTAAGAACGAAGGAAGTGTTTGGTAAGTGGAGTTATTCAAATACAAATCTACAAATGTAATACATTTTTAGTGCATTGATGAAAACCAAGTATTAGCACTCCTTGGGACTCAAAATTGTTCCTAGTTGGCTAAAGATCCTTTTATTTTTGTATCTAAATCATGGAGAAAAGAAAAAGAAAGTGGAAGACAGAGCAGAATATGAGAAAGAACATCAAGTAACTCAATATGAAGTAATTCTTCCACCCAAAACACTGGTCAGTTTGAAAAGAAGTTGACCCTCTAGTGGCCAGTAACTCAAGTATTCACAGCTACAGCTGGATGGGGAAGCCTGGGAATAACATCCACAGAAAGGACACTCTAGGGAAAAAACAGCTTTTCTCTAGGTTTTGAATACACTGGAGTAAAGACATGCTAAATTTACAAGAGACTATGTAGCTCTTGTTTCTACATGATAATAAGGGATCTAACCCAGGACTAATGGCAAATCAATGCTGCTTTGTAATAGATTTCATCACAACAGGTGAGTATCAAATATTTGCAAGACAGACATTTGTGTTACAGCCAGAACTTTGAATTCAGAAGGGAGAGTTATCTATGCTGCACTCCCCTTCTTCACCTTTCCTCCAAGAAAACAGGTAGCCCAAGCTTTGCTCAAGTGAGTGACTGTGGTTGGTTACTCTCCCAGCTGTTACAGGAACTTCTGGATTCTAAAGGACCAATTTAAGTCAAATTCCTGCCTACAGAAAAAGAAAAGATCATTCAAATTTACTCTGAGGCCCACTCTCCTTGCAACCCAAAGACAGATTTGTTCACTGTCCTCTTTCAAGATCAGAAGCTTCTCAGCCTGAAGCACATGAAATGCCCCGTCAAAAGTACATTCCACCCATAGGAATCACAGGACAAGGAAATCCTATAGATATGAAAAAACAAAACAGAACAACCCCCCCAAAAACCAAACCAAACCAAACCAAAAAGCCAATATAGTACTGTATTGCACATACTATACACTCTAATATCTCTGTATTTTGAGAAAAGCACAGGAGGTGAAGGGGCATAGATCAAATACAAATGCCTTGTCTCAAAAAGCTTTGGGCACTTCTCATTCTGCTTCAAATGTTTTTGCTCATGAATAAAAGCCACAGACAGACAACTAGAACCTCTAACTGAATCAAAGCCTGTCCCTATAAACATATACAAAACCCCCCTTATATAATAAAAAGAAAAAAAGCAAGTTTCATTTCAGATCCATCTACTAAACTTGCCTCAAGAAGGTTATGACTTTCGTCCCTGTGATCTATGGAAAGGTCAGTTCTCCAGCTGAAGACAGCTCAGACAACAGACAGCAAAAATTATTTCTGGCACTCTGGAAAATCCCCTTATATTTCTACTTTTGAGCATCAAAGACAAATCTGGTGCAAAACTATAAGTAGGTTCCACCTCTAATTTGTTCTAACACTGTTTCTCAGAACATGCTATTTTTTGTGTATTTGTTGTGCATTGGCCAGTCACCAGCTAACCACCTACAGCCATTCACTCACTCCCTGCCCCGTGGGGTGGGAAGAGAATTGGGAGAGAAAAGCAAGAAGATCATGGGTCAAGACAAAGCAGTTTAATAAATGAAGGAAAGGGGACCAAAAAAATTCCCCAAAAATGATGCAAGTACTATCACTCACCACCTCCCACAAGCAGATCAATATTCAGCCAGTCTCCAAGCAAGTACTACCTCCCCAAAATCCACTTTTCCTGTTTTCATTGCTGAGCATGATGGTTATATGCCATGTAATATCCTTTTGGTCAATTTAGATCAGCTGTCTCAGCTGTGACCCTCCCAACTTCTTCCTCATCCCCAGCCTACTCCCTAGGGAAACAGGGGAGAAGAGAAAGCCTTGGCACCACGTGAGCACTGCTCTGCTTGACAGGAACTTACCTCTCTAACTTTAGAATGAACAGAAGAACTTCTGGGAAGATGAATTCCATGATGCATGAAATCCTGGATGCAGTTATGTTCCAGCACCTATAGTAAGAACACATACATGCTACTGTTAACACAATAAAACAATAACAAGTACTGTAGCTGTGCAGCAACTATATTATTCTCTAAAACAAGCAACTGACAATAGTCTTTGATGTTATTTCTTACTTGGCTTTCTGTTTGGCCCAAATTTTTCCATGCTGCAGGCCTGTCTTCTTAAACTGATTTTCAAAATTTCAGAATATACAACTAATCCAATTCTTAGAGCCTTACTTACCCCACATGGTAAGTAAGAAGTTTTTGGTATCTGAAATTTTGCTCTAGAATTGTTGTGATGCTGTAATTATGCTTTTGTTCATCTCCACGGAAATCCACAAAAACTAGATAAATACTTGAGCTATCAACTATACAGACTTGTACATACTGAATAAAAGCTTCCATAACTCAGATAACTAGTGTGTCTATGAAAAACACGGGGTATGTGCAGAGCTGTGTAAACAATACTTCAGCTGCAGAATTACAGGTGTTTAAATGCAGCCAAGCTGATCACAATGAGCAAATATTCAAAGCATGACAAGCTGTTGCCCCTTGACAATGCTGAAGATGCCTTTTCCTTGGGGAAATAATTCCTTAAGATTTGTTTAGGAACCTTCATGAGGTTGAAAAGTCATGGATGTTCCCCACCTTGAAATTCAAAATTGTCCAAATGAAATTTCAAGCACAGTGTTACCTCTATGAATTCTCCTGATACCTTCTTCCAGGACCTGAAGTAAACTTCTGCAATGTATTCCACCAAGGATCTGTATTAACACATGGGAAACACTTTCAAGCAAGCATCCCAACCATATCTATGTACCATTCATAAAGTTTTTTTATAAGTACTGAGAGTATTCTTAATTCTGTGCATCAACATTATTGAGATGAAATTACCTTTTCAAGTCTACACGGCTAATTACAAAGGAACTGTTAATTAATGAAGCCAAGCACTATTACATAACACAGGAAATATCTCTTATGAGGGGAGAGTCAAAACATTTGCACAGATATTTTATCATTTATCTCACAATGAAAGCCTCAAATTCTTTATACAGATGTACAGGTATATATTATTCTAACTGAAAGCATTAGAAAGCCTCTGATTTTAATATGAATAGTTAATTCTGTAATATTTCACAGAATAATAAAAGAAAAAATATCCATTTTTCAGTTAAGTTCTCGGGCTATGACTGATCTTGAAAGTCACCTCATATGAGAACATCTGTATCCAGAATCCTACAAAGTTAAATCAGAGGTTGCTCATAGGAAAAAACAGAAACCCCCTACAAAAGAAGAAATGGTCCTGGGATGCTCAGACAAGCACTGCAAGTAACTCAGTCCAATTTCTATCAGTCATTTGCTTTAGCTAATGTCAAATAAGCATTTTACAATACCTATAACCCTACACCTAGGCAGGTCAGAGAACTATTAAATGAAGTTGCTGAAACCCTATGGCAGTTATAGTCAGCAGATTTGAGGGTTTCTGGGTTCTGATATATTTATCAATACACTGTGTGTTTTTACAGTGAGACAAATAAGATTTTAGCTGAGCTCTTAACAATCATTAAGTACTGTAAATGTGATGCATACCTTGGAAAGAACTGTAATTGGTTTTTAACAGTTCCATGTATCATCCTAATGAAGTTTATATTCCAGCTGAACAAAAAACTCAGGAATCTTCTTCCCTGTGTGGAGAGAAAAAGAGGAAAAAGAGGAAAAAACAAAGAGAAGTCAAACCTAGGAGGAATTCCCACTTTAAGAGATACCTCAAAAATCAGTAAATGCAGAGCTTAAAGATCAAAAGAAATTACATCTTTAATTTTAGAAGTGTAGCTGAGATGGAAAAAATTAAAGTTTCTTAATTTTTACACAGAATTCAAGCATTACTTTTACTGTAGAGAAAACACAAAACAAATGGACACGTGGATGACACATCTGCCTGCACTTTCTCAATGTCCATTCTCCTTTGGTGTGACTTCCATTAGTATTCCATAATGATAAGGGACCGTGCAACTCAGGACCCTCATATGGGCCAGAACTCCAGAGCTCTGTCAGGTGCAGTATCATTCCAGGATGACACTGAAATGATGGTGAAGGCACAAATAAAACACCACAACAACTCTACCAGCACCGGATATGGAAACGTTTTGAACAAAGCCACAGGGAACAGCTAGGCCACTGAGGACAATAAATGTTCTGATTAGCAAGGACAGTTCCTTTGTTATTGCACAAAAGGTAATATTGCAAACCTCCTGGAGTTGCTTTCATTCATGAAAACAGAAACACTTTTTTTCTCAAATTAGTTTCGTTCACTTTAGCAAGTCAGAAACAATGACAACAATCTGACAAGCAAAGGCAGTGAAAGGCTATGGATGAAGGAAACAAGCCATTGCTTTTCCAGAACCAGCAAGATCTCCCCATGGAATTGGAGCCTTACAAAGTATCTGTACAGGCAGCCCCACTCCTGGTTCATCTTACAGATGAAGTGAAGGCATCCAGCTCCTGAGACTTTAAAATGCTTGATCACACATGAGGGTGAGTCAGCCAGCTGTAAGGGTCCTTTGTACCTGTCAGCTTTCTAGCCAAAAATAAACTAGGAAAATTAATAAGGAAGTGCAACAGTAAAGAGCAGATTGGCAGAAGTGCAAAAGGGTCACTGAACAAACAATTAACAGGAGTTCAGAGGCACTTCCAGTGAGAGCTGGACCAACAGTTGTATTCACACCTATGACAAAATTGAGAAGATAGAATGCCAGTCACACTTTGAGTTGGAATATCCCAGAGTAGGGGAGAGGGAAGGAAGCATATAGCTGGAAACTGCCCTTTAGTGGAATTGATAGTTTAAATGCCTTTGGATCAAGAAGTAATTCAGAAGATCATAAAAATCAAGACCTAAAGGCTAAATACAATATCAAGATCCTTGTCTACAGGTCTGATGGAATCCTTCCTGTTGTCGATGAGAGTTGCTTCTATTTAGGAAAAAAACACAACTTACTATTTCCTGGTGGTCTAATATATATAGAGTCCCAGTGGGAATGTCACACATCAACATCCCTGACAAACCAGTAGGTCAAGAGAGTCTTGGTCTACAGCTTCTGCCTCAATGAGGCAAACATGAGGACAACCTCAAACTCATCTCATCTTCTACAATCCCAGCAGCAAGAAAGATAATGAAAAGCCACCAAGTAGCTTTCAACCAACTCTTTTTTGCCTTAGATTTCAAAAGACTGAGCCTGATCCTGAAAATTATGGTAAGTGCCTCTAATTTAATGTGCTGCTTGTGATCAATGGATCTGAAATCATCACTGGGATCAACATTCACAGTATCACGAGAGGCAAACTGGTGATAGGTGAGCAAGACTGTGAACTTGTCACCTTTGGGGTTAAGACATGATCAGAGTGCTGGTGACTGGTGCTGCTGTGCTTGTGGACACTGTACATGTGCCTTAGTCTGTTGCACACACACATGGAAGGGGAGCAAGGAAGGAGAGAGTACAACAGACCCACCTCTCAAAGACAGTAACATGCTCTGCAGGGCTCCCAGCTGTTTGATAGGAAACCCCATGTGAACAAGAACATTTGCTTACATCACAGAGGATCACTCCACTAATGCAGACTGATAAGCCTCTGAGAAACATTACTCTGTGTTGAATAGCACAGCCTGGGAAGGCAGGAACACTGAACTCCTTGATCTTGCAACAAGGTATAACTGTGCAATTCTGTATCAGTTTAATCTGATTTAGAACCAAGGTGTTTGGAACATTCCTGACCCTTCCCTTCAGTCTTGCATATGATCAACCAGTCCAGACAGTTAATCTGTTTGAAAAATAATCTTACCATGAAAAAACAGTTACCTCCTTCAATCAACCCATGACATAGCTGCTTGAGCATTCATATCATGGAAAGGAAAATAGGAATGCTCAAAGCCACCAACTTTTTGGCAGGTATCTAAAACCTGCACTATCAAACATCTCATCTCATTCAATTGCTTCCCTCAATTTTAAAATGCCATATCCCCACACTGCCACAATCATGCAGCAATCTTGGAGTTTATTTTATGACAAAAGTTAGTATATTCCATGAAATGGAAGATATATATTTTATACATGCAAGGAGGAGTTAGAACTTCAGAGACAATGCCAGGTGGTCTGGTCACCTAACCAGAAAAAAGGCTTGGTGTGGCACAAGCACAATCTAAAAACTCCAAAACAGCAATTGCTCACTGAGACAAATGTATGCAGTCAAGTAAAATAATTCTCATTTTGCTGTAAAGTTCGGTTCTTTTTATGCTACTTTCAAAACAGACTCTGGCAATGCAATCTTCTAAATGGAATCATTTAGAAGGAAAATTATTTTGCTACAGTTATCTGTCTCCAATAAAAGAAAAAACTGCTATAAAAGAAGAGAATTATACCAGGGAATGATTTTAAATACTAAGGGACATGCACTGAAAGCAAAGCACTTGGTTCTTATTACCTCAAGATAGAAGAACCAGGCTGAGGATTTAGACATATATTTTCACACTTTAGTGTGGAATAGAAATAAAGGTTTTTCCAAATGAAACAGAATATCACCCATTTATAGCCTGGAGTCAGAGCTGATTTGCCTCATGTTGCTACCTACTGTACTGTAAAAAAAGACTTAATGCAAAACTATTAAAAGCCACCAAATCTCACTGGCATAAAATCACAGTAAGATAAAATTTTGCTTACCTCTTCTTTCTTAATGTGTTTTACACTCATAAAACACTGAAGCAACAAGTCCTTCACTTCATTACTCTCCTCTGAATCATAATCAAAACAAAGTAATGCCTGATGTAGATTCCACAGACGAACTATATCTGCACCCTGACAGGAAAGAAGCAACCCACATTATAGTGAAGAAGGTATTGATTTAATGCACAGACACATTTAAAGGGTTTTAAATAATAAATTTGAAATGCATTGTTGGGCAGAAGATTTTTAGATTGTAAAATTATGAGCATTAATTTCATCACATCACAAGGAAAAAAATATGTGTAACTGCAGAAATACTGACTTCCACCAGATGAAGACATGCTGAAGTACAGAAAGAAATCTGCCATTTCATACAAAATACATTAAAACTATATTATTCCACTTTTGAAACTTCACACAATAAACACAGTTAACAGGGCAAAAGAGAAGAAAATGTAGTTATTAGGAAAAAAGAGAAGAAATAAATAAGTAAAGGATACATATATTGGGTTAGTGCAAAAGATGTATATCACAATAGTCCAAGTAATTCTTGCATTAAAAAAAAAAAGAATTTTGGTCCAATAATAGAGAAGGAAAATTATTTGTAGAAAGATAAAGTGTAACATAAAATGAAGCTTCCCACAAAACTTGTTTTTATAAGTAGCTGAATACAGTACTTAAATCCTGGATTATCTAAGAGAGTTAATTGCTATCAAAACCTTGGTCATTGTACTGGACAAAAGAATAAAAAGATAAAAAAGAAGGCAAAAAACCACCCCAGTTCACTTGTGAAACTGATGCCAAAAATCTTTAAACCTTGTTCTAGAGAAGGCAATATATTATTGGAGGGATCATCTTTCCTGACTTATTAAAAAATAATCTGAAAGTCAATATAGCTTCAGCATACCACAGCAGCTTTATGCAGGCTTTTTCTTAGCAGAATGACAAATAGAGTCTTCCCCAGAACATCCTTCCCTTCCAGTCCCTTCTGCCACCACATTTCACATACACGTTGGATAGCATCCTTCAGGATTTTTTCAGATGCAGGTAATGCAGGAAGAATACCTATAACAGTAATAAAATAATTATTTACTGCAATGAGCCAAGTTATTCCTGTAAAACAGTAGCCTGTTAGTACACTAACTGTACCTCACAGTGTCAACCAGCTCTTGCCACATTTACACACCTTAATGGCTTATTCTCACTGCAGGTGTTTAGGCAGCTTTGTCAACTCTCAGGGTTTGGCCAAGTTTTTTCAACAGTAAAAATGGAATCTTAAGTTTTGCCTTAAAAATAATATAAGCCACAGGATAATCAAAGTTACCTATCATTGAGTGAACAGCTGGGAGAAAGAAAACTATTTAAAGTTCCAACTTCTAACTTGTGCAGCTGATTCTTAAGTAAACGCTCCCTTAACTTTGTCTCAGTAAGAGCTCACATCAGTACCAGCTTTCCTCAGTACCAACCAGTAAATCCACGACACCTGGGAATTCTGTTTCACAGGCCAGTTGGATTTCAGTCAGATCAAACACACAGCCCACTATACACATTTGTAAAATGCTGTATTCTGTACAGATAAGTACCCACCATTTAATATAAAAACACATTCTAGAAGAGCTTTGTAGTTCACATTTTCATCCACTGCAGGTATGGAAGCCGTCACGACAGCTGTCACTCCTTGGATCAGTGCTACAGTTTGTTTCTGAAAGAAAGCCATGTTAAGGAAACAATTCTGCAGTTTGTTTTGGACTCAGAAGATAATTTCAACAAGAAATAAACCCTAGCAACAGGCAGCAAAGTTCAATTGTCATTATGCTTCCATTTTGAAGAAGGAGGATACTGGCACCCAAAACCTATCAAATAGAAGGCAAAAGAATAGAGTTTTAAAGTACATCTGCTTCAAAAAGTTTGAAGAGGGCTTCCAGCTCCAGCTAGTAGATAATTGTGACTGTACATGTGTATCCATTCCTCCACTAAAAACCTCATCTGCAACAAACCCACTCAAACACATCCATTTCAGAGCTAAACAAACCTTAACTAGCAGGGTCTTGTGGAACTCAGGAATGTGCAGATCTGCCCCCTTTGGACCTAGGTCTGTGATTCTACAGGCCTCTGAATGCATGACTGATTTTCTACAAGCCTCCAGGTCTCCCTTATGGTTTCCCCACTACATTTCTTTTCTTCTTTCAAAATTAAATAACCCTTTTCCCCGATATTCTCAAGACTAGATAGACTACAGCAGAAGGAAGTATATGAGGGTCTGACTCAGAGAAATTCTATATAGGCTACATTTGTGGAAGGGACATTCAAATCTAGATTTCATGATCTTCATTCGAAGAAATGGCATAACAAATCAGGTAGTGAATTTCTTATAGCATATGCCAGATACTTAAGGAACATTTGCAGTATCAACATTCATTTACTGAAATAAGACATACAAAAAAGCCCAATTAACTCTACTGAGAAAACTACGTCACATCTTTCATAATTAAAATTACCAGCAGATCTAGTCTTTTATAGTACAGACCAATCATAAATTCAGCTTAACCCACAGATAAATTAAGCCAGTTAAAAATGGGCAGGGAGGTGATGTTTGGAACTGATTTTATTTGATAAGCCTTGCATGTTTCCAGATGCTATGGAAATATTCCATTTTATTTCCCCAAAAATATGAAATACTCATCCTATTTTCAGTTTACAAGGTTCTTACCATTTCTGGAGTTATCTCGACTTCCATGTGATCATCACTTTTATCATCTCCAGTCCTCTGCCACGTTTCCACAGGGTTCTCCATCAAGTTCTCTGTCAACAGCTGGGTCAGTCTCTCCCATAGTACTTCCTTCTTCTTCCTTGGCAATTCTTGAAGTAGTTCATTCAAGTCAAAACGATCTACTGTATTTTTCTGTGAATGGTCAGAAGATACAACACAATTCCACATCAGTGAAGTGGCTTTTATTTCATCATCATATTTCCTAAAATTAACAGGTTTTTTAATGTAAAGGATTAACTTGCAGTTATAGAGATAAAATATAACTTCTAGAAGTTATATTTTTTTTTAAATAGCATAAGAAATTCCTACTACTTGACTCTTTATCATGAAGCAAGAGTGCTGCTCTTGAGACAAAAGCCCTTGAGAGCAATGGAGACAATTCCATAGCCTTAGCTAAGAAGCTCACAACTGCACAGCATTAAAGTCCCTGATCCTATCTTTGCTATCTTAAATATAGATTGATGGTGGCTGTTGAAAGAAAATCCTTAGGCAAGGACTAGAAATGTAACAGCCAGTACAGCCATAGGAAACAGCACTTCTGATTCAGGAGTAGGATCTGCACATGTCAGTGCTCTGTACACTGCACTGTTTTAAAGCCCCCCATCACATCCCACTCCTGAGCACATCACCCCCACACCCTCGTCTTCAGCTCTGTTGGCATCACAGAAGGGTATTCAAGCTGCTAGGAGAGGGAATATGCAGAGAAAAGATGAGAAGGAAAAGTGGGCACAGCCAAGAGGAAGTACAGATGAGCTTTGAGATGTAATTTGCAACGCTGAAATGAAGGTTTAGTGGATCAAAAACGCTTCAGAGGAAAGAGGGAGAATGTTTATGATCTTGAAATAAAAATATTTTTCCTAAAAACAGGAATCAAAATGAAAAAGTCAAAGGTAAAAAGAAAATTAGAAAATAATGAAAGAAGCAGCACTAAGTATTAGAACATTTCCAGAAGGGCATGAGAAGAAAGATCCTGTTACATATTTATAAGAGAATTTCTACCCTATTGTACAGCTGGAAACAAATACAATAAACCAAAGGCCTCACAGGGAGTTCTGCAGCCCTCTCCTTCAAACAAACCCAAAAGACAGGATATTAAGATTGTACTGTTTTGAATAAAAAGAATGAATTCATAATAACACTAGAGCTTTCGAATCTTTCTTTGGGATGATATGAGATAGAATTATTCCAAAATTTATAAGGGAAAAGGATGACATTGAATGAGAGTCATATCTGTGACTCCTATTTTTCTGTCTAATAATCTATTTTTTTTAATTGGAACAGAATTTAGAGGAAAAAAAAAGCACCTGATAAAGACCTCAATGAACAGCACCAAATTATGATTACATTTTTAAAAGATTGCTAAGAAAGAGAAGTGAAAAGCCCACAACAAACCTCGAAGGAAAATTAGCAAACCCCAGGAATTTTAGAAGATGCAAATTAAACAAAACATTGAGAGGAAGGAAAAGAAAAAATTAAGGGGGGTGGTGTGTGTGTGTGTCTGTATTTAGAAATTGACTTTGAAAGAAGTAGTGGTGCTAAGAACAGAATTTAAAAAAAATCTTAAAAGACAAATTCTGAAGCTAACGCATCGAGTAAGTAAAAAAAGCAGGGCAAATAAAATACAAAAACTAAGGAAAGCAGTGAGGCTCTAACCACGCTTTCTGCTTCTTTCTACATTTATATATCCACTTCTAAAGGATAGAATACACAACCACAGCCTCCTCCAGAAAAGCAGTCAAGAATTTCTCAGGGGAGATCATAAAAGGAGGATCCTCATCCTAACACAAGATACACACACCCTCCATCTAAGGGTTTCAAAAGGAAATTAATAAAATAACTCAGGTCTCTTGGACACCAAAAAGTAATCTGGATATTCATGTTCCCTTATGCTACAAAGGTATGAAAACAGTTTTAATCAATATTCTCATTTTAGCTGGTGACAAAGTTTCCAAAGATATTGGCAACAGCTGAAAACTGTTGCAACAGAACTCTTGTGAATTGGTGATGAAAAATAAAAGGATGATTAAAAAAAAACATTTTCAATCCAAATAGGCCAAGATATGTTAAGATAAATTACTGAATGCAGATGGCAGAAACAACACAACCAAATCAATTGAAAAGGAAATACTGCAAGTACCATACGTTGTCCTAAACAAGTTTCTTGTTGAAGTGTTTAGATTTGGGGGAAAATGGGAAAGAGTCTTTAAGCAAAGGCACTCTGGTAATAAAGTTGTCATCTCTAATTACATGCATGCATGCAATTGGAAGAAATAACAAATTTCTTGGAGAGAGTCCATGATGTTTGGGAGACGAACTTTTCCAAGTTTATTATACAGAATGTGGTTGTGGGTTTAATACATTTGTTGCATTAATAAATCAGTTCATGCCTTTGTGGACATAGAGGTCAACTGATCCACTTACTGTACCCTGATACAGATAATATCAGGGAAATACTGATTAGAAAGCTTAAGAAACTAACTTCACAATACCATTTATAAAGGCAAGCAGAAGATGTTTAGAAGAAATCAGGTATATCTTAATACCAGACAGATTGAAGCTTAGTGGAAAACACCACAATGCGATTATCTGTCATTATTATGCCAATATCATATATACAATAAACTTTCAATAGTAGATTCCAGGGGACTTCTTTTGTTGTTCCTCCCACTTCTCTCCACAATGCATTTAGAGAGAGCAATCTATCCCTTCTTGGAAGCATTCAGTGATAAAAAGAACTATTAAAGTACAACTAAACATGGACCAAAGAAAAATGGACAGCCAAAACTATTACATGAATGAACACATACTAGTGAAACATACCTCTGCTATGTTTGTATATCAACTCATATTCATGACATACCAATAAACTCTTTCATAGGTTGAAATTTAAAAATACAACACTCCATCAACATCAAATCAGTTGGAGTTTTTTAGTACTACCACAGTACTAATAATTTCTTTTTTAAAAAACTAAACTGTACATGGAACAACCAAATGCCTGAAAAATTGATTGGTTTATAAATAGCAACATTTCAGCTTCTACAACTTTTTCAGCCTATGTTCCCTTAAGTGCCATTTGAACTTATTTTCTACAGCAATTATTCCACACATCTGCAAGTACCAGATAAGCACTTTCTGTCCCTATGTCACACAATTTCTGCATCAATAACAGCCTTATGATTTCCTAAGTGTATCACTCCAGATACAAGTGCACACTGGGTTACTCACAGGATTCTGAGTGTAATGCAGGAAGTCTTCAATTGACTCTTTAGACACAACTTGCAAAAATTCTTCACGTTTCATCGTGGAATTGTTTTTCCTTGCTCTATAAACAAAGCATTAGACAAGGTACTGTATCTCAAAATAAGATCATTTTGGTCTCAGTTATAGTTATATATATAGCATTTATATATGTATTATAGTAGTTATATATATACATATATATTACAAAGTTATAGAAGTTTTCCCTTCCAAAATACTGAATCAGCATCCAGATTCACAACATCACTAGGCTGCAGGGTTTGCAAGCTTTCTTTTTAATTGGTTTTTTACTAAATTAGTCTTAAAGAAGAGCTTTTTATGGATACTTTGATTTTTAAAAAAGCAGTGTATTATTCAGCACACACCCCCTATTTAAGCTCGCCATCGTTCCCGACAACAGCATTTACTTGTATCAAAAGTACTGAGGGGTAGTAAAAGTCTGTCACTTTCCCTCCTGTCAAGTGAAAACTGGGAAATGGGCTGGGCCACCTTTTGATACTAAGAGCTTAATTTGCGCACCTAAGCATTCCCTCCATCCCAGGTGACTCCTGACGTGCTTTCCCCATCCCTACGCGTTGGGCCACACGACAGAATGGGGCGGGGGCCACTTCTGGGGCCCGTCCCGAGTCACCCGGGGGCTGCCGCCAGAGAAACAAGCGGGAAGCCGGACGGGCCGCTTACCTCGGGCTCCCTCAGACCGCCGACACCCTCATGGACCCGCGGGACGGGCTTCCAGCGAGGAAGCGCGCGCAGGAGAGAGGAGCCCGCGCCGCTCGGCAGCACCGCCAGAGGAGACGCCAGCCCCGAGACCGCTGGGACGGGACACCCGTGGACACCCCGGGACACTGGGGGACACCGGTGGACACTCCGGGACACCCCCGCCCCCCTCGGTCCCTCCCTCACCCGCCGCCTTTCGAATTCTCCCGCGCCGGGCGCTGAGCGCGGGCCCAGAGCTCCCGCCTCGTCTCGCGAGAGTTCGACAGCCACCTCCCCCCCCTCCGCTTCCTTCCTGCGCGGGGCCCCGCTGGGGGCGGAGGCTGTGGGTCCGGCTTCCGGAATGGAACGGTGTTCAAAAATCACGGAATCACAGTCAGTTGGGTGGGAAAAGACCTCTGAGGTCTTCGAGTCCAACCTATGGCCGAACACCACCACGTCAACCAGGTCATAGCACTAAGTGCCACGTCCAGTCTTTCCTTAAACACCTCCAGGGACTGTGACTGAGCAGCCCAATCCAACGTCTAATCACCCTTTCTGTGAAGAAATTTCTCCTAAGGTCCAACCTAAACCTCCCTTGGCACAGCTTAAGAGTGTGCCCTCTCATCCTGGTTGCCTGGGAGGAGAGCCTGACCCGCACCTGGCTACAACCTCCTGTCAGGGAGGTGCAGAGAGGGATAAGGTCTCCGCTGAGACTCCTCCAGGATAAACACCCCCAGCTCCCTCAGCCGCTCCCCACAGCTCACTGTGCCCTTTCTGTACGGACCCTCAAACTGGGGTAAGACACGCTCATGTTAAATACATGTTCAGGCTTAAGAAACGGTATGGCCTCTACGGATCTCTGGTAATGTGGACGTACTGCTCTTACAAAAACATCATTACACTGGTGGCTTTTTTCACTAATAATGTTTTTGTTGCTAGTGCTGACAGCAAAGCCTTTCCTCACAGTCCTGGTGAACAGCATTCGCACTCTTCAGCCAAAGCAATCAAGAGTTAAACAGGCTACTCACCAGAATTTATCAGAGACTATGTAGTCCAGATTATATTTACACTTTGATAACACAGGATTTTTTTTCTTTTTTAATGTATCAGCAAATGCTTCTTTCTCTTTCTTCTCAAACTTAATTTGCAGCGTTTGGAAATAGTTGGACTCAGATCCTCAAATTCTCTAATACTCCCCATTCCATTTGTTTGAGCTCTTCTGCAAACCAAAACCAGTCAACGTGTCTTGTTAAGGGCTTAATTTGTATCTTTCCGTTTTGCATTTGCAGTAGCATAATATTTCTCAGTGTTGTCAGCTGTTCAGAAGAGAGAGGTGCATGACTGAGTCATTTACTTTCAGTCTGTGGAAGCATTACAGCATGTGCTGCCTCACTGTGCAGACAAACAGAAAACCAACTATAATTTCCGTACAAGTTCTCACAGCTGGTTGGACTTTTCAGGATTTTAATTTATAAAAATATGTATTTCAGATTTTGTTTAATAGCATATGTAAAAATTCACTCCTTTTCAAAGTAGTATTTATGTCTTCTGCTAATATTTTAATTTTTAACATAGAGTCTTCTTTAATCATCCTACCTTTCACAGTATTGGTTTATATTCAAAATTAAGTCTTGTCTCATTTTCTGCCGTCTATATTTGACTTACAGACTTTTCTTGATTTATGCTTTAAAATTCTCGAGTAAACTATTTTCTTGGGTTTTATACAGTTTGAAGACTACAGGAGGAAAAATAGTTTATTATGGGCTTATCCTATAGAAATAATACTATTCTGTATTGCTTTAAAAATGTACATAACAGGACTAAAGTTACTGAAAACAAAACTAAAAACTGTTTCAATTCCTGAATCATCAACTGAGTCCATGTGAAACTTCTGAAGTAACTGGGTTTTGAAACAATGTGCCACAAAGAAAGTACTGTTGGCACAGCAGGAGAATGGGTTCCATTCCTTCCAATTTGTGATTGAGATGGTCACATGCCCAAGGAGGGGACAATGTGGGAGAAGGACTTGGCAGCCAAAACCTCATCTTCTTGGGCAACATCCCTGTGCACCAGCAGCTCGGTGCCACTCCATGTCTCCACCTGAAGCCAAGCACACACACACACCTCCTCAGTCCACATTTCCATACAGGCAAAGGCCTGTCTCCTTTGTAGTGAGAGAAAGGGAATCCAGCAAGAGACTGATCCCTGGACAATCCCTTGAAATAGCACCTGTCCTCCAGCCCTAATCTCCACACTGTGACAGCTGGCAGGCACTGACTTCCAGAAGCAGACTTCCAAAAGAAGGTAGCACTTTGCTGCAGTAAAGAAGGATGAATAATCCAACTTGTTGCAGATCCTGTGGACCTGACCTTATTTCAGAAGTCAGGTATTCAGCTAAGTGCAAGGAGCCTGTGAAACAGTTTGCTTGAAATAAGTTGCATGAGCAATCAGCACACCTGTAGAATAGTAAAAGCAAATTAAAAAGTATAAAAAAAGACATTTATACATTCTGCTAATGTCTGCCTATATTAAAAAATTTCTGCATATATTAAAAATCTTTGCCATTTTAGATGGATTTATTTGTCATGACTCACATAGACTGAATATTTCATTAATACCTTGATTAGGCTTTTAATTAGAGCTACATTAGTCACCTGGTTACTATTTATTTAGTCAGGCACATATCCATTTAGCAAACGAACTAAAACATATTTTAGCTTTTAATTTCTGTTGCATGGCAACCACAGAATGATTTTTTTCGTAGTATTGAAACTAGAAGTTGACAGAGATAACAACAGGCTGAATAACACCAAATGATTCATTTTAAAGGACCACACAGAGAAACCAGAGAGGCAGAATAACGTTTTGCAGGTTTTTTCAAGAATTATGCATGAACTGCAAGCTGGTAATGAACCTACAACTCTATTTTCAGTTTCTCTAATGTTCTCCCTTTCAATAGTACTAAATTACATGCCTCTCTTTGACATATCTGTTCATCTGTTCAAAATAATCTATACCCTGTGATAATAATCTCATATTTATTATCATTTTCCTGTCAAGTCAAGTTAAGGCAAAAATGAAAAATGGGCCTTTCACACATGGTTGCTGAGCAACAGCAAATAAAGATTTGCTTTTGCGCTGCCGCTTCCTGAACCGGTCTTTATTCTTGTTGGTGGCCTGTATGAGAGATCTCAATTACAAATGGCTCACACCAGAATACTGTCGTTTGGGCTAGAGCAAGTATTCCATTTTAACCTACAGGAGTCAATATGATAAATAAAAAATAAAAAAGTAATTCCCCGAATGTCAGATTCTTTCTTGACACTTATTTTTTTTCTTATATTTACGATGTTATTTTCTAGATAATAGTTTCTGATGAGATTATTGTACACATTATCTACTACCATGTTAGAATTGTAACTCCTAGGTTTTTTTCTTTGAATATGTAATAAAATTTGTTATAGTTAATGAAGTATGAACAAAATCTGCTCATCCTCTGAGGCAGGCTGTTAATAATTTACATGCATGCATTTCCCTTGATTTTTTTTTTGATCTTCACATACTTTGATAAATAATCCGAACAGCATGGGAGAGGGATGAAGTTTCACACTATTCCACTTCTCCAGATCTCCCCTTGCCTGAAGGTAATCCTGCCAATCATGCCATCCTTTATTCAGAGGCAACTGTCACTTCTCGGTGCTGGTGTGATTAGACCGTGAAACGGCTTATTTCCCTTAAATTCTTAATATTAACACGAATCAATTTTAGAGTTTAAGAGATTAAGTAGAAAAAAAGATTCGCTACATAAGAAAAAAAATTTATCCTTGTTAACTCCCACAAAAATAAGGAAATGAAATGCGCAGAGGGAATGCAGAAGCTGTTCGGGAGAGCCACTCCCTGGAGTGGCTGCGGATGTTACCGAAGTCCTGAACTGCCGCCCCGTGGGAGCTGCCCGGTACTGCCGGGGGTCTGCAGGGATCCACAGGGGAATTTAAGCTGAGAAAACAGTGCAGCTCTTTTTTTTGTTGTTGTTTTTGTTGTTTTTCCGCTTTGTTATTATGCTTTATGATAAAATACTTACTTATTATATCACAAAGTCGATCTCAGGGCTGGAGCACCTCTGGCATGGCGACAGGCTGAGAGAGTTGGGGGTGTTCAGTGCCTAAAAGGGGCTACAGGAGAGCTGCAGAGAGACTTTTCACAAGGCCATGGAGTGACAGGGCAAGAGGGACGGGCTTTAAAACTGAAAGAAGGCAGGTTTAGATTAAATATTAGGAAGAAATTTTTTGTGGTGAGTGTGGTGAGGCACAGGCACAGATTGCCCAGAGAAGTTGTGGATGCCCCATCCCTGGAAGTGTTCAATGCCTGGTTGGATGGGGCTCTGAGCCACCTGCTCTAGTGGAAGGTGTCCTTGCGTATGGCAGGAGGGAAGGAACGAGATGATCTTTAGGGTCCCTTCCAACCCAAACGATTCTATGATACTATGATTATTATTTGCTGTGTTATTATGCTCTTACTGTTATCACTCATTCCTTATAGACAGTGTTATGAATCAGAGTAATTTTCTCTGCTCACTATTACTACCATGAAAATTGAAAGATTTCTGAAATGTTATAAAATGCCCACAAAAAGAAATTACAATAACATTATTTGCATAGATGAATCCGTCCCACTGTAAATAAAAGGAATATAATTTTTCACGATAACTACAGCAAACATTTTCTAAAGTCATGTCATCTTTTGGAATATTATGTATCACTGAGTAAATTTATAATACTAGTTTGTCAGTTAATTTGTTTCAGATATAAAACACTCCAGTTATAAATGCCATGTCTATATTACTTTAACCCTATTAAATGTTACATTCTGATAGAGATTTACAGCTCTTTTAAGTGTTCTGTCTCCTTGCAGCTTTCATTCGATTTTAGTCTTTAGGAGAAGAATTGTTTCTAAACTACAAAAATGCTGTTATTATTACTTTTACAAGTGGTCTTAGAGGTTTCATTGTGATAGATGCATCATCTAGATATGACACCAACTCTGTTCTATCTGTCTAGTATGAAACATGAAAATACTGTATAAGTATCAGAATGGACATGATTTGCTCATCCATATTAGTTTATACATATATATATGTTTATGTACATGTGTCCTAGGTTACACAAAGATTTTGG